CTTTGCTGCAGTGTTTTTTTTGGAACTTTCAGCATAATCCACTGTTGAATTCTTATTTAATTCTACCAGTTCCTCAGCTGAAGACAGCTTAGGAGATTCACTACCCTCATCAAATGTAGAAGATTTATTCAAGCCCACATTTGTTTCTGATATGACACCATCATTCAAATCTGTACCCTTTTCTTCAGAGATCTTACTGTCTTGAGCCATCTCATCATCAGTGTATGTACCATTATACTTAAAATCAATTGAATGAGTCACATTAAGTGCTGTCCCTAACTCAGCTGATGACGGACCACTAACTAAGACACTACCTTGTCCCTCAACTGAAACCTTACCAGAAGGAAATAATGTGGACAACACATTCCCGTATGGAAGTTCAACATACTGGAATGTTATAATCAAGACAAATGTAATTCCTATAAGCGATATCAATTTCCTGGTATCCAATTGAAACAAAGATTTAAGTTCATGCCCCATTGAGAAACCACTTGACCATTGTCAACTGAGTTCTAGCGCTATATATCATCCCTCCATTGTGTTCCCCAGTCCCTGAATTTAGTCAAAATGAAACTCTTTTACTAATCCATGAACCTAACTAAAATCTCATTACAAAAACTTAAAAATAGGGTGTTCATTTAATCGATTTGGTTAATTTTAAATCAAATTATCCAAAATCGAATTAACCGAATTATATTATTTTATTTTTATTAATCAAATTGAAATTATTAATTTCAAAAATTAACCGATCACAATAGATTAACCTAATAATAAATACATCAAGTTAAATAAAATTATCCAACAAAATATTTAAATACCAAAGTATTACCTTAAAAACTCTAACAACTTATGAAACAAAATGATCTATTTTATGTATTTTTTTATTTTTTATTTAAATTTTGTTATATTTTAATTAAAATTTTAGTTAAATCGATTTTGCAAAAATTAAAATTATTCTAAAATTTTTCATTAACCAATCGATATTAATTCGTTGACTGATTAATCAAATTATTAATCCATCCATTAGGTCAGTTAATTCGGTTGAATCAAACACCCCTACTTAAGAAGAACATATATGAAAAAAAAAAAATCAATTAAAATGTTTTAAGTACTGATCTAACGCTAGTTCTTTCCATTAATCAAACATGCAAATCCAGAAAATACAAAGAGAAATGACAAAACAACCAGAAGCTCAAAAATCAACTAAAACCAGAGAAGAAAAAGATGCTTACGATTTTCGCTCGTCGTAGTTTCATTGTTCTGTTTGGTTGACAAAAAACCAATGATGAAAACGAAGCAAGGAATCTTCTGCAAGAGGTGGACAGTTGTAAAACTAGAGAGGGAATCTTCTTCACTTTACTTTGTTTTAATTTTGCGCTTGCTTTTCCTGAAGATTTCTTTTCTATTTTCTTAGCAGTCAAACAGTGAATTGTTGATTTGCATGGAGAGTTTAAACGGGAAATCTAAAGACCTCTACGCAGTGTCTCTTTTGCTGAAATTTCGGCTTGACCGAGAAGTTGAAAACGGTGAATCTCAGTGAGTCAGTGTGCTTTGGACGCTGAGCTTTTATTACTTAGTATTAATCTTTTTGGCTGGCAAACGACAGCCGTATTAATCCGATATAACGTATTAACCACGTATCCTCTTGACTTCGTGCCCAACACTAGCAGACAGTCCACGCGCGAAGCTTTTGACGCTTCCTCAATTCTTTCCTGACGCAACGGACCCTGTGTTCCCGTTTGAGTCCCGTTGAACTTCTTCTTAAAGTTCTTTTTAATTCTAAAGAAAATATTAAAGCTCGATTTTTTACTTATCCCTTAAATATTTCAAATTTAAAATTAATAAACTTTGATGAAAACAAATCTTATAAGAGATAAGAATTTAATAAAAGATAATCATAAACATATATCTATTCTCATTATTATTTATATATAATTACTAAAATAAAAAATTAAAAATATAACATTTGTTATCAATAAATAAAGAGTTATAATCAAAAGGATTTAAATTTTAAGGTAAAATTCTTATTCAAATATGTTAGCTTTACTATAATCACCTTCGATGATTGCAAATGGAGAGTATAAATTAAAATTTGTTTCTTTTTATTTTTTTTCTATTGAGATATATATTTTTTTTTAATGGGATTAATGGCAAAAGCAACATTGTTTTGATTTTTTATTTTCAAATGTGATTAGTTGCAAAACGACATAGTTTTGTTTTTTATTAATTAAAAAAAATCTATAAATACGAGATGTCATCCATAAAAAATGTTAAAAGAGTACGTTTGGATATTGTTTCATAATAAAGGTCGATGATTTTGTGTCAAGATGAACATTTAACTTTATACAATGTTTTTTGGAAATTTCATTTTATAAAACAAAAACCAAACTTACAAATCCCTAACCCCAAATCCCTTTTCTACAAACAACTTATAAATCCCTTTTTCAATCTAAGTAATTTTTCTTCTTTTAGAATTAAAATTGATTGAAAAAAATGACATGTTCTTATGTTCCTTTGAAAGTGCATTGCTCATTTCAAAAGCCTTCTATGTCACCCATCTTTGATCTCTTCAAGACAACAACTGATCTTTCCTCTTCTTTCAAGGTGTGCTGATTCCTCTCTCTGAGGAAACGTAGGCTTGATTGTAATGTATACATTTGCCATTTCTTATGACAGCCATTTTTAAGAGAATTACAACAACTTGCTTTCCCAGTTGATGTCCCGAAAGCTGTCAAAAACACTTCGATCAAGTTGCTTGATGCATTTGTAGATTCTACGTTCCAGTTTGTTGACTTCTCATTGGACCCATCTCATGTATATGAGAGGCCTTAACTCGTGAATTCTACGTTGACTATTGCACATTGAAGCTTTTGTTTGAATCAGAAAATTTTGAGTGATTTGAACAGAGTAACTCTACTCCAGTGGATGAATTGAGAGAGGCTGCCATTGTCACCAACATCGATGGGGAAATTTCAAGCGATTTTCCTCTAGGAGTCTACATAAGAAACGGTATGTTTTTTTTCTTTATCATTACCTCGATTAAAAGCACATGATAACGTCTTCGCTGCATGACTGTCTATCATCTTAGATTATATATAATTAATGGTTATGATATAAGATTTGTATGTTAGATGTGCTCTTCAAAATTTTTTTCTTTTATAATATGTAATTATTTATTGTCTTCAAGTTGAAGTAAAACAAGAACATCTATTGTTGGTTTTACATCAAACACACAAGAGAAGCCATCATTAAGGTCGAAAATTTTGCAAAACTTGTCCCCAAGGGCAGTTCATACAAGACATAAATATGAAACAAAGACCGAAAATTTAAGCTCTGACTGATCAATGACATTTTCCTCTTTTTGGAGGATTAAAGTCAGTCAAATCTTTATTTGGGCGGTCAAGTCCTATATGGGTGGAAGAAGGGATGCTTCATGCTTTGTGTTTTAGTCAAGCCATTGATTGGAGCTGAACCGTTGTTTATAATAACAGACACGTTGAAACTGAGACATTCAAGCTTGAAAAACAAAGAAACAAACCCTCTTTTCTTCCTGCCGTAGAAGGGGATCCGCCAGCTGTTTTGTCTGCTTATTTGCTTAATTTGGTAGGTTTGCCTATCTAAAATACAAGAGATTGATGCCCACTTTGCCATGAAATCGAATTTAAAAAGAGGTAAACTTGGTGTGTGTAAATTTTTATTTTCCTCTTGTAAGTTTGAAATTACCAGCTGGCAGCTGCATAATTCAAACCATGACGAATTTCCATGGGATTTTGTTTTGCAGCTATAATGTGTTCATAGACTGCCCACTAACTGTAGACATAGGTAGACTTATTCACGTGGCCGGTGAGTTCAAAATTTTCAATTCCTAATTTTATCAGAAGATACGCTTTCCTTGGCTTTAAAAGAAATACTTTATGCAGGTTAATAAAATATGAAAGGGAAGAAGGATATGCAAGAATTTGCATAATACCTCGCTATGGTGATGCAGATTCAATCCAGTGGTTTAAAGTGAAACCAAACTGCATATTTCACATTATCAGTTGCTTTGACGACGGTGATGAGGTAACTATACATAGTGGAATTTATCTAAACAATTTATATTGTTCTCCATGAATTTGTGGCTAAATTGAAAATTGAGAGAGCTGTATCTCTGGTGAACAGGTTGTAGTGTGGGGGTCTAGAGCTCTTGCGTCAGCCATACCAGGACCTGATCCGGATTCAAAGAAATTTGAGTGGTTTCCAACAAAATTTAGGCCTGGTGAACCAATTGAAGAGCAATTTCCTTGGATACAGGCTCTTACAATTGACACAAAGAACTTCTCCGGCAAGGCAGTTGCTAAAATCAGAGTGCCAGGCGGAGTCCTGGATGTTTTTCATGGAGCTTTTATGCCAATCAAACTGCAAAACAGAATCACCAGAATGATTCCTAATTATAATTCCAGAACTCGTTAATATCGAACCAGTCCTTGTTATCTCTCTAATAAGCTGCAAAGTAATACATGTGTGACACTTTATAATCTATATCTATTTGAGATAATTCTGAAAAAATAAATCCTTTGAAAAACCTATAATTGAGTTTATTAACCTGATCACTAAAACTAAGATTCCAACAGTGTTGGTGAGATAACGATGGTAAAGACACTCCACCGCTCTAGGGAGAATTAGACAGTCTATGGACGGTTAGCAATCAATTATTTTAAACAGTAACTGTTGTCACCCATCCCTTGCCCTTCTTCATTTTCAAGGTCTTACTTGGTGGTGATTATTGACAAGTGAGCAGTCATATCTGACAATACGAAACATGAGCTCATTGTTTATATCTATTATTAGATTACAACATGAATTTGAACTCATGCAGCAGCATTTCCCCAAAGGGAAATAGTAATTTTATTTTGTCTCCTTTTCAGGAAGGATTTAATGGGGGCAATACCAATCAGCTTTTCCACTATTCCAGAAAGAATAACAGCTGCTTATGGAAACTCTATCTATTACCAGTCTTTTCTTTTTTCCTATCCTAGCCAAGCTAGTTATTAAATGGTTAATATCAGTAAATAGGATGGCTACCTAATATTTTCACAAGGATAAATGATCAGAACCACCCATACTATTACACCGTACGGATGATTCAGAGTACTCGATTAACCCATGGACTGGAATTTCTGTATCCGGGCATGATTTTTTAGACCACGTGCATCCCCTTTTAAGCTTTATGGAGAAAGACAAGTGCTCATTTTCTGTAAATGTAGATTTCAATAATCTTAACTTTGTAAGCTCTGAATGAATTCATGGCTTTTGTATTACTTAAACAATGGATTTACATTATTTCTGCAAAAAGAGAAAAATGGACGGACATTAAACATGATTACGAAAGGCAAATAATATTACTGGAATCTTGTCTATATATCATGGCTTCCATTTCCATTGCGTAGCTTGTCATCTTTAATGGTGCCATTGAGACCATACCAATAATCCCAACTCACCAAATTAAGTTTATAACTACACCATCAACGCATTCCTTATATCTCTAGCCAACTCTTACAGGTTTTCAGTCTAATCCCCATCATCCATCCCCCTCCTGTTCTTTTGCCATGGAGTTCTATGGCACAAATACTCTTCATGACTTCATGGATGACGAAAGCAATCCAACGCAATCACCTCCTCGCCTTTCCATTAGAGCTCACCTAGATATGTATGAACAAGATCTCCAATTCAGCCCTGGAAGACCGTCTAGCCCCCGAGCGAGTGCCAACATGCGCTCAATGTTTCCGCCTGGTAGTCCTGAATCACCATGGACACTCTCTCCTCTTCAAACCCCGTCCCCTGCACTCCTCTACAACTGCATCGCTTCTCTTCATCGCCAGGAAGGCAATATCTATTCGATTGCACTCTCAAAAGGGTTAGTTTTCACTGGCTCAGATAGCAATCGTATCCGGGCATGGAGGCAGCCTGATTGCATCGAACGGGGATATATCAAGGCAAGTTCTGGAGAAGTCCGGGCCATTTTCGCTTATGGTAACATGCTTTTCACTACACATAGAGACTGCAAGATCAGAATTTGGAACTACACGGTTTCAGATAATTTTAGATTCAAAAAGATCTCAACACTCCCAAAGAGAAGCTCATTTCTTCTGTTTCCTAGGACAAGCAGCCAACAACACAAAGACTGTGTTTCTTGCATGGCTTATTACCATGCCGAAGGGATTTTGTACACTGGCTCATATGACAGAACAGTTAAGGCTTGGCGGCTTCTAGATAAAAAATGTGTAGACTCATTTGTGGCTCATGAAAGCAACGTCAATGCAATAGTGGTCAACCAAGATGATGGGTGTCTTTTTACTTGCTCCTCCGATGGATCAGTAAAGATATGGAGGAGAGTGTATAGAGAAAACTCTCACATTTTAACCATGACACTGAAATTCCAGCAATCCCCTGTTAACGCCTTGGCCTTAAGCACAACATTCAACAATTGTTTTCTCTATTCGGGTTCATCTGATGGCACCATCAATTTTTGGGAGAAGGAAAAAATGTCCGGTAGGTTTAACCATGGTGGATTTTTACATGGTCATCGTTTTGCAGTTCTCTGCTTGGCGGCTATAGAAAAGTTGGTATTTAGTGGCTCAGAGGATACAACGATTAGGGTCTGGAAGAGAGAAGAAGGAAGTTGTTTTCATGAATGTTTGGCAGTGCTGGATGGACATCGAGGGCCTGTCAGATGCTTGGCCGCTTCTTTGCAGATGGAAAAAATTGTCATGGGATTTTTGGTATACAGCGCTAGTTTGGACCAAACTTTCAAGGTATGGAGGGTCAAAGTGATGCCCGAAGAGAAAATCTGCTTAGATTTTGCAGACCGAAATGATTCAAAAACAAGGACTATGGAATATGAGATGAGCCCTGTGTTGTCTCCGTCTTGGGTCGAGAAGAAGCGTCAAGGTAATCAATTCGAGTAATTTACGGTAATCTAAAATTCGGTCCCAGCTGTTCGAGGCAAACTGAGACATTGCCAAGGACGATCAAGTCTAACTTTTAGCAATTCTAGCAAGCTAGTTCAAGCTGATTCAAGAAACAAAAGAGGTCCAATCCTTTTCTTGTACTGCTTAGATTCAACTAAGATTAGCATTGGAATCAATATTTCAAACAATGCAATTCTCACTTTTAGGGGTCATCTCAACAATTTACTTCAACAATTGCTTGATTCTCACTTTTAGGGTTCATGCCTGACAATTAGTCGAATATCTCAGAAAATGTTTTTTTTCCTCCTTTTTTGATACTTAGAATTTCATTTTCAGAGAACATTCGGTCGAGAGATTAGGCAGCTTAGGCAGGTGCCTTGAATAATACCACATGCCCCTAACTACTGAAAATAAAAGTCGATGTAACATTGGCCATATATAGAGTCATATACAGATCCAATCTCATGGAGTGACTATAGCAATAGTACGATCGTTAATGAGAAATATATCTATCTATCCATCTATCTATATACTTGATATTGAAGGATACCAATCTGGCAAACGACTTTGCACCTAAAAGTTGTAGTGCTATTAATTGTATATAGTCACCTCTTTTATGCCTCCATCGCCATGTCTCAGCTACTCAACGGGGTATCATTTAACTAGGATTACAAATGCAACCTTGATAAAAAAAGGTAATGAAACCGAACTGGTACATGGTAAGTGCTGTAAAAGTTTGGCAGAGATTGGTTCAACGCTTCAATGTTCTCATTCCTCAAAAAGGTCAATGACCCAGGCTGGTTAAAACCATTTGATGCATTGAGAGAGAAACAATGTGGGAAATCAGAAAGCTTCGTCCTTGTGAGCAAGAGGAGCACGAGTCCTAACAATAAACAAATTCTCATAGATGTACCCAGCAAGCCCACAGCCGATCAGGGGTCCAACCCACTAAACCCAGCGATTTGTCCAGTCCCAGCTCACCAGAATTGAACTATTGAAGTCCCTGAGAAAGCTCCGCCAGCCAAGTTGTTAGCCCCAATAATAAACCCAGTGAGAATTAGACCTAGCCCGATGGAACCTTTCTTGGGGGTCCACAATAGTGGCATAGAATGTGAATAACAAGAACGTCAGAACAATCTTCCACACAACACCTTGAAGGAAGCCCACTCCATACAGCCAGTGAATGAATTGGAGTACACTGCACAATAAAGAAACCAGTTAAATAAAGAAACAATTCCAATCTGAAAAATTCGCTTCTAAGTAAAAGCTTGTTCGTTATTTGTTAACCCAAATCTGTAACATTAGAGTCAATCAATATTCTGAGAAATCAATTACGCCATGTGAAGAAAAGATTACTCGTGAGCCTGGGCCCTTCTCAGGCATCAACGCCAAGATTAGTGCTTGCCTGGACCCTGATGGCTGGAAATCGGTATGGCAGATGATGCTTTAGTTTGGAGTCTATGTATTTGAGGTTTTTATACATCCAAATGAATTGATTTCCTTAACTGTTCTCTTCATGTCCTGCAGGTCTTTGCTGATAACATTGACTTCCTCAAGGAGCTCGAGTGATCAAATATCATATACCTGCACGCTGAAAATTCGTAACAATTTTGATCATTAGATACTGCCTTCTGCCAAGCTTTTTTTTCTCAAAAACCTTACGGGACAATTTACTCAATCACATCTTGTAGATTTTTGTTGGCTTTTTCCTCTTTTTTTTTTCAATTTTTTCTGTATATGACTGAAGAAGTTGCTATTATTGCAAATTAAGCGCAGTGCGTTGGGAATCAGATATATATATTTCAACGTTATTGCTTTACAGAAATGAAATTCTAGTTCTTCCATCAATCCAATTAGTTTCCCTCAGAATTATGCTATATTGTTACAACAATTCAACATATGCTGGATCCCATCCGTCCACATTTGTTTGTCACCTTTACTCCTACACTCAAATTCTATTATCCTATCTGCTGTTTTAACCCCAAAGTAAGCTTTCTGCTCAGCATTGTCTTCTCTCTCGCTTCTGGGCCATGCTGGGATGTCATTATGGACTCCCGAGATCACACCTGGAAGCACAGTGTAAACTCTGTTAACACAGTTAAGTGTAATAAGAAAATTGATTTATTTGAGTATGAGGCTTAGCTTACACTTCTTCCTTTTAGTGTATGTGCCTGCCATATGCTTGCTTTTCAATTTAACCACCACCTGTTTTTATTAAAAAATTGTGATCTTTCTCAGAGATCTAGGTAAAAGTATGCATTCAAAAAAAACCCACCTTGTGCTTATGTAGCTAAACAAGTTTTTACATATTAATGGAGGAAATTTTCTAAATTCTTAGAAGTCTACAAATATAGTTGCTAGGATTTCTTTTATCCTGGTTTATACCTGCCAGTTAGAGTTTATGTAGAAAGAAACTTGCTTCCAATGTAGAGCTCCTGTCATCAACATAAATATATAGTGATGAGATGGAATATTTGTTACCAAATACTGAAGCTAGATGATTTTGATATTTTTGACTAATAAGATTTGAGAAAATGGTACCTTTTCTTGTGCGCTTCAGTAGTTCTCCCCCGTCGACAAAGTTCAATGTTGAGATGTTCAATTCATTGCGGACTTCACCCTTTTCCTCACCTAGAGCAAACGTCGTAGTCTTCTGCAGCCTTGCCTTCGCAGCTCCTCGCAAGGCTGCATTAATTTGTTAGATTTAAGTTGACAGTCCTCTGAAACCATTAGTATATTGAACTATTAATGATATATATGTCCATGAAGGTGACTGATAAATTCATTCCGTTATCATGTTTCAGCTATTATCTCCTTAGCTGTTGTGTCCAATTAAATTATGGCTGTCTTGAGGCCACGGCAAACATTAAAATGAAAAGATGACTAGTAATATGTATATTTTCTAGCTAGATGATGGATTTAGAAGCGATTTGAACAACCTGTAGCTGCTCCAGCTGTTAGGGTTATGATATCTCCATTTGTTCTTGCATTCATTGCAGAGTTGACTACTCTTAGAATGTGGTCATGATCAGCTCCCGTGTCCTCTGCAATCTCAATGCAGTGTGATGCGACAAGAGCTGCCGCAGATGCGATGGCAGTTGATACTTTAGAATATCTCTTCGGACAGGTAATTTCTATTTCCGGTAACATTTCATTTGAGGCAGCAAGTGCTGCGACGGCAGCTGCAACTCCAGCCACTGATACAGCTGCATGCAATTGTGCATTATGGGTTCTGATCTCCTGCTTCTTCCTCTCTTTCTGATCCTTCAGCCATCTGCCCATTGTTCGCCCTCTTACTATGCTCTTGTATATCTTCAAATTGGTAATAAGCCAATAACGATAAGAATATATGATGATATTGTTAGGTAAATTGATGATTATGATGAGGTTGAACAAGGAGATACCCCATTTTTAACTAGTTGTTGTTTACAGAGAAATTTTGGATTCATTGCTTGATGAAGTAAAAATAATTCCTGCATATCACAAAGCTGTTAGAAGTGTTAAGTGGTTGAGTAGGATCAAGTTAATTATTTTTCTCTTGCTTGCATATTTGTGACAATCCTGAACAGTATAATGTGGTTCCACACCATCACAAGTTAGTGAGCAGTATAATATTCTATCAATGCTATAGGGCAGGAGCCAGGGGATGCTAAACTGATGGCAAGGGCTTGGGTGTATATCTTTTAGATGAACATATACAAAAAGTTTGCACAGATTAAATGGATAGCATCCACCACGGCGAGGCCTGATTAAAGAGAACAGAAACCGAGGTACCTTCAGATTTTCACTCTCCATTGGGGAAATTGGAGGGCTACCGCCACAAGGTAACTGCTGAAGTAGCTGTACAGACAAACAAACATGAAAATTTTATATTACTAATTATCACTCTCAACACTTATAGCTTAGTCTTTATTTGAGATTTTTCCAAGAACATGTAAGTTCTCGTCGTATAATTCTTTTACAACAGCTTGAATTAAATAAGGGATCTTACTGATTCCCTTGAGTCTGTAGAGCTTGCAACATTTGTTTCATTTCCAACATAAGAAACAGATGACTTCTCATCAAGACCATTGGAAGCCGCTATATGCACCTTCGCAAGAGCTTTCGAGAGTTCCATAGCCGACAGACTCCAAGATCTGGCGAGAAACTCCATGGACTCTGTAGGAGTTTCAGGAGGGGGACAAGACAGCGGTAACCACCTTGCAGGACTATTCTCATCTATATTTTCCAGCCTCTGGGACGAGCTTTTTATACTGCATGAGCTCACTAACACCAAAACAACCATTCAAACACCCAAGTTAGTGCTCTAGTTTTCATGAAACACCAAGCTTGTGATAGCAAAAGCCTTACTTTTAAAATTGTCTTCTCCACTTTCACTTAAGCTGAGACTTTGATTCCGACACAAACAGCAAGAACAAGCCAAGAAAGAGAAAGAAAGAGGTTGACATTTATCATGGGAAGTGAATCTAAGCTGCATGGTTTTTCTCTATTGAGAAAAACGATAAGAGAAAAGTGGAAGGGGATATATTCTATTGTACGGGAAAGGCTCCCCCCATTAAAGGCAGTTCATCTTTGCCTCCAACTTCCTGTTTTTCAGCTTTACATTATAAAGAGGGAATTAAAGGGTTAAGGACGAATTTTTCTTGAGTGGCGTAGTCATTATGACCTGAGTTCTCTTTTGTCGCCATTATCAGTTGCTGAAGCTAGTGCCCAGGGCCCTCTGCCCCTTCTTGCACGCCCATCATATATCCTTCAGATAATAACCGAGCATTGTCCTGGAAGCTGGAACAGTTGTTTAGAGGCAAAAGAAAAGCAACAGTCCAGGTCCCACAACATTTGATTCACGTCAAAATAGAAATGCAAATGACGCACTTGTGTTTTACAGGCTCAACGGGGCCATACATAAATTTTTTTACAACTACTTTTTCTTTCTATACTCGAAAAGGTTGAGACTTGATGGGTTACCGACAAAGGTTTCTTTTTATTTTGTACTAAAATCTGCAGACTCTTTGCTTTTATTTTAAAGGGGTTTGTTATTCGACTGTTTTTGTACTTAGCGAACTCGTTTCCGTGTATCGTCGGAATCAAAACAATTTGGACCAGAAAGTTGTATTTTTTTCCTGCTAAGCTGAATACTGGTCAGCCAAGAACTTGTTTCTTTGCAACAATGGAATCATAAAATATTGGACCAAAAAGTTGCATCATTCCTGGAAGTAGGAAAAATGGTCTGACAATTATCTTTCTAATGCTAATGATGGGTTATTGTATTTGAATGTGATCTCGTAATCCAATTTATGATGTCTAAGGAGGGCTACTATGCGGTCATTTGTCGATAATGTTGCTGAACAGAGACTTTGGATATTTCAACATTATCACCGTTAGATCAAAAACAAAAAACAAATACCTTCAATTGCCTTCATCACCTTTTTGTAATGATCCTTTGCTGGGAAATACAGCGCATCCAGGCATTGGCATCTGACGACAAGTAGTGATTTTATCTAATTTACTTTTTAATACATAAATAATAACCAAAAGAGGGTAAAACTCCGTTCAAACTTGTTGACTTATTGATTTCGAGTAAGCCACTGAGCTAGCAAATGATAGTTGGACTTCCACAGTACCTTGGTGGAATTCAAAGCAATTATGCTACCTGTTACTGGACCGTGTGCCATGGCTTTCGACTCTCAGAATGGCTCTTTCACTTTGACCTGTAACAACAAAATAAAACAATTACTGACAGTTGCAAATGTACATCAGGAATACAAGGTAAGAATATTTCACACGAGCAAACGACATTAGCATAACGATATGTAACCGCAATATATTAGCTCTATATTTCATATCAACAGAGCCCAAAAAGATCAAGAAAAAGTAATAGTTTTTCAAATTTCAATCAGAACAAGAATGAATGACCGGATCGATGTTGCAGTACTTGATTAGAAAGATCAAATTTAAGTGATATAATTACCTCAATCCTCTTAAGGTATAAACCTCTGCTATCCATACCCAAATGGATATTTACAAATATATCTTCATATCACTTCAATATTAGCAGTGACCTCTATTGATCAATTAAACTCTTCTCACATCCACTGGCAAATGAGAGACAATTGTATAAAGTCAAGCAAATAAAATTACAACTAAATATACAGTTATATAAACAATGACAACTGACAGAATCTCCAAAAACTAACATGATAGTACCGGTGTACCTGAAACTCTAGATTACAGTACTTTTTCAGATTCTGGTCATAGCAGGTACCTAGATTCAAATTGATCCAGGTAAACATCAAGGGCTTTGATCCAAATTATGGAGTAATGAGAAAAGAAAGCAAATGCATCCTGAATTAAATGAGATACAAGGTCAAAACAACCGTATCACACAAATGAAACTTTATCATCTATTAACAGAAGAATGGAGAAAACACTTTACACATCATCCCTCGAACAATTAAACATGAAACTGGCTTAACCATTGTCCTCATGCATGCAGAAAAAACCAGGCTTTGGTAGGCCATACTCCAGCACAATCCCACATACTTGCCCCATCATGGTCACCTCGTGGAAAGCATATGATACAATCTGCCATCTCTCAGCAAAGATATTGAGCTATCCAACGTCCAAACTTCATGACACTTGCAACACCAGCTCTGGGTTCCCTGAAAGACAAAGCCAAAATCACAGCCTGACCTTAGCTATACATATAAAGCTATAAGCATTCACTCCATAGAAAGTAAAAATTCATTGAAAATAATTTTATAATAAATGAAATAGTTTTTGAAAGATCTTCCTATACCAATCACTTAGCTGAAGATATTCTGTGAAATGATGGCATCCAGCTGCTTGAAGCACCGGTCTTGTTCCCAAGTCCACGGCCACTATTTGTAGCGTCAGTTGGCCCCTCTGCTTTGGGCAGATTCTTTCTCAAGGCACCAGGTAGAGCAAATGAAGTGGATGGTATTGCTGTACTGCTCCCCATCTGCAACAGTCATATCCCACAACAATTATTCTAAATTGGCTGACTATGGGGTGAATTTACATCATAGGCGAGGACAAAAACCACTTTAAAGTATGCCCTGTTACTTTAATTTCAATTCATTTAATTTTCTATATTTAAACTGGAAGTTACAAGCACACATGAAACATGATATAACATGCTTCGTCAGGTAACTTACATGTTTCTCACTCATATTTTGCTGAACCAATGGTCTAAACTGCATACGAACATCTGGATGACCGAGATTACTTGGTCCTCTGTGCTCCATAATTTCACCTGAATAAGAAGCATCCTTGATTCCTGGAATTCAAAAATGAATAAGGCAAGATGTGCTTCATAAAAGAAATTTTCCAAAACAAGTTAAAAATTAGAAATGTTTCCCGTTAGGATGTATCTAACTAGAATCTATGAAGTATGGAAACTACAGCAGAAATGCCCCACACTCTATAAGATGGAAACAACCACAAGATACCAAATTGAAAAAGTTGCTTAAAAAAATATACGATCGAATGCTTAAAGCAATTACCTTTAAGCTTATCCATGGTCATTGCTTGACTGTTACTTGTTCCAGAAAAAGGCCGCAAATCCTGATAAAAATCAGGAGAAACAAGTACAACCATATAAGACAGAGTAAAGAAACAAACCAGAATGTGAAGCAGCCTCCAAACTGATTTATGCAACTAGAAACAAATTACTCTTGATACATTTTTGGTCAAAAAACTTCATGGAATACTTGGGCCAAAAAAATTAATGAGATGCAGGTCTTTAAATTAAATAATTGATCCAAAGAAAAAAAAATAACAGCAAAAAGAATTTAAGAAAATACTAACAGATGATTGAGGATGTGTCTTTGTCCTTTGTGTCTGCTGGTACTTTAGAATTGTCCAGTCAAATATGAAATCAAACTCATATCCTGCCACATGGAACATATGGAAGTTGAAAACCAGAAAATGCAAATATCAGTTTGCTGTTGTCCACAAGATACATGCATGATGTTGCAATGACTGCCAGACAGGACTATAAAATAAAAGATAGTAGGTTTTATAAATCTGGGTTCATCAAACATAATTAGTTGTCAACATAGCAACCCAAACATGCAACGTAATGTAGAGAACATGAGGAAAATGGTGAGCTTAAGTAGTTCATTACCTTCCCGGGTAAACAAATCTCGAAACAGACGCTTCAAGAATCCATAATCAGGCCTCTGATCAAATGTTAAAGAGTGGCAATAGTGAAAGTATGATGCAAACTCCACAGGTTGTGACTTGCACAAGACCTTTTGAACATGAAACAAATGATAGCTAAGCATTGAACAACTACTGATGCTAAAATCATTTTTCTTTCATGGGAGGGAAGATATCTCAGAAGGAAATACCTCTATTGGTGTCGATAACTTCTTCTCGCATATTTTATCATACTTCTGCTTCTTTGTAGCAGCTTTTAGACCCTGCCAAGGAAGGCTAAATGCAGAAATTAACAAAATCAGTCAGACTTGTACAGTCAGAATCTCGGTGCTGCATAACATCTGAATAAATGAAGTCATCAAAATGAATAAGGTACAGATTAAAGCAGAACCACGGCTCGTACAAGCCCAACCACAACCCTAACGTACTTGAGTCAAAGAAGAGGAATGACAGTGAATTGGAGCATACCTTCCTCTCAAGAAATACAAAAGAACATAGCCAAGTGATTCCAAATCATCCCGACGGCTTTGCTCTGTGGAGATTAAAGAGTGCATAAAGTAAACCTCAGAGCTCTGCCTTGTATTAAAAAGAATAGCAGAAAAAAAAAGCAACAATTCTTACCAATTCCAAGATGAGTATTACAACTAGCATACCGTGCAGTCCCTGTTAAATTTTTATTCTCCCTGTAAGAGTAATCAAGAGAAAATACTACTTAGCCAATATCCAGGAAAAAATAAAGAAAAGAAAAGCAAAAACACTAGTAAATGGATCAAGAAAAAGAACATACTGAAAACTGAAACTTCACAGGCTCAAACATAGAAATTAAAAAGGACAGGAAACAGAGCCTCGTCGAGTAAATTTGTCTACTAATCATGTTAAAAAGGAAAGCCAACCAAATATTAAGCAAGAACTTGGTAGTACGATTATTACCTGTAAGGAATATGTCGATTTGTGTTGGGATCACGATATCTTTTGGCAAGACCAAAGTCAATGATGTAGACCTGATGAGGGCAAAAACAGTTATAGAAAATAAATAAAGCAGAAAGGATAATAAGAGAAGTATTCTCCATGCAAATCAAGCATTGAAGAAACATACCTGATTTGCTTTCCTTCCGAGTCCCATGAGGAAATTATCTGGTTTGACGTCTCTATGCAGAAACCCCTTAGCATGCATAAATTCTATTCTCGTAATCTACACCTCATCAAAGGAAAAAATGTTCACACGGATCAACATGCAAATAAAAACAAATAAAAACTACTCGAAAGCAACTAGCATATTGATATATAAGAATAGAAGCTTTGAACAACTCTTATTTGCAAATTCTTTATCTGATTACCATTTGATCAGCCAACATTAAGACTGTTTTCAATGAAAACTTTCTCCCACAGTAGACAAACAAGTCTTCCAGGCTCGGTCCCAGCAAGTCAAGCACAAGAACATTATCATCCCCATTTACTCCACACCATTTTATGTGTGCAATACCACCTAAAACATAACAAAATTTAGTAAATATCTATTGCATTAACATTACTGAAAGACCATTTACACCAAAGTTTGCATTCTCAACATAAAACTACCAAAAACTTTTCCTTACTTCCTCCTTGAAGAATATTATACAGCTTGGCTTCATATAGCAATTGCGGATGCTTTGTCTGCCTGTTTTCCTGCCACCAAACCAAAAATAAAGTTTACTGATTTACATGTTTTACTCTCTTCAGAAAGTAAGTTTTCATCAACTATTAGTTCCCAGTATAAAATCAAGCTACATAATCGATTTCATAAATTTACCAAAATATTTGACTGATTTCGATATCACCACCCAAATTAGACAAATTTTTTAAAAAAAATTACAAAATCAGATAAAATTTTGTGTTACACAATTCAGTATCCACCTCAAAAGCTTAATATTAAAGTTGAAATTTTCTTTTAAAAACATTCATAGTGAAAGAAATAAACAAAAAACAAAACTTGCTAATAAATTTAAGCGAAGACTTACGATCTTTACCGCGACAGTTTCACCCGTGTCAACATGAGTAGCTGAAACAAAGCACAATCAGAAGGGAAAAGAAAAGAGAAAAAGTAGATTAAAATTGATAAATTGGAGATGGATCAGCATAATAAAAGAAGAAATCGAGCTAAAAAGAACAAAATACCGAGAAAGATTTCACCAAACGATCCACTTCCGATTTTGCGACCGAGCTTGTACTTCTCTCCGACGATCCTCTCCATATATCAACAATTCTTTCTCTCTCTCTCTGTTTCTCTCGCTTTTCCCGATAATCAGTCGATTTTTGGTTGGATTCGTGGAAGAGAGAGAAAATTAGGGCAAGAGACTGAGAAATTGTTGAAGGCAAAAAGGAAGATTTTAGAGATCGAGGAGAAGGAGGTGGAGGTGGAGGTGGAAAATGGTGACTCTGTGGAGGGTGTTTTGGGGATTTCGATGAATTTAGTGGGGATTTTCAACGTAGAATTGTCGAGGGGGAAGGAAGTCGGGCACGGGAAAAAAGGTTGGGGAGCGTTCTGAAATTTTAAAGAATGAGAGGGACGTAAATAAGAAGAGATTATTTACTGCCCAAATAGGGCAGAATTTGTAATTTAGAGAAGTCATGGGGTTGTCATTCAAATTAAAGTATCACTATACAATTTTTTTTCTCCAACATGGATTCGCAGTATAAGTAGCATGTGAATTTTTATTGATTTATAGTAGTCTTTTTTTAGATTTAATATGTATTAGACATTAAATCCATACAAAAATTAAAAATAATTTAATAATATAAATAAATTAAAATTTATAAAATATATTTTACATAAATTTTTTATCAAAATTCATTAAATTTGTCAAAACAAATAAAAATAATTGATATTATTGGATATCAAAACTATAACTTTAGTGTCCACTCTTGATGTCTCGGGCAGGCATGCTAAGTTCACGCAGCCCTCTAGTTCCAGGTTCTATTCACACAAATTTATGTCTCCTACTTAGTGAAAATGCCATTGATTACTGCCATTTGTTTAGAATCGAAGGTGAATCTGTTGCAGGCACTAGAAATAGGAACCTCACCTCCGGGAATTTAGAAATAGTGAAATAAAGGGGATCGACAGGGACCCAAAAGGCGTACTGTTCTCTTTGCTCAGGAGTTCCATGTATCTACGGGGAAGACAATAATTCCTCTGGCTGGTACCAAACATTGTTCAATAGGTTGTCGTGAGTTACAGCTAGTCACATTCGTAGGATAATAATTATTACCAGCAACATCAATGGTAAAGCCAGTGGAAGATTATTCTTCTTTTATATGTTCTTGATCAGTTTTTGACCACTGATTCCGACAACATTACAACTACAATCTTCTAATGTGGACAAGCAGCAAAGCGCCGATACTGGACATTATGTCTGCGTTGATAATGGCGTTGAAGCCAAAGCAGCAGAAATTGCATATCGCATTAGCCAGAGAAGTAGAACAAAACCCAGTTCGAGATTAGCCCCTACTCATTCAACATACTGATCAGACAACAAAGAAAAGATACTGTATAAATCGATGAAAAAACAATGGAGAAGATTGAGATAGAGAAAGTGAGCAAGAGGATGATTAAGATGGCAAAGGCAGCCAGAAGAAGAACGCAGGCAATGAGCGAGCCATACAGAAATGCACCAGAGTCGAGTCTAAGTTGGGAACCGCCATGAGTTGTTGAGAGAGTGAAGAAAAGCTCAATTTCAACTAATTAAAGAGAATTTCTCACTTTCTTTTTTCTTCAATCGTATTCAAATTAAGCCCAAGAACAGCAATTTAAACATATTTGAGTGGAATTCCAATAAGTTCGTGCATAAATATGAATGTCTGTAACCTTGCTTTGCTGTGTCTGGCATGTTGAACAGAGCAAAAAATAGTAAGAGAAAACTTGCGTCGACAGCAGGATTCGAACCTGCGCAGGCAGCGCCCAACAGATTTCGAGTCTGTCTCCTTAACCACTCGGACATATCGACGCTTGCCCGAATGTGATGCTAAATGTATAATCTCATCCTTCACAGCTTAATCTTTAAGTTGCCAAATTTTGACGATTTCCCATTACATGTACTATTTAAAGTTATGATTACTAAGCTGAACTCAAATTTTCCAGGTGATCGGCTGCCAAATTCGCAATAGGGCATCATTGTCGTTTAATATAGTCAATGTCCGCATCAGCATTATTAATCTTTGCCATCTTGTTCTCAGCGGTTTAGATTAATTTAGTGGCCTCCTCTCTACTTCTTTGAAACAACGTTTCCTGCTGAACTCAAAGCTGCATCACAAATGAATAAGATATATGCAAGATAAAAATGTATCAAAAAGGCAGAGCTAGAGGTAACAGGTAAATAATCAAAATTGCTTTCGGTTTTGCTCGAAAGAATAGCTAAACCAGAATGAGAGCCAAAGTAACATTACAAGTCTGTGTCACGCAAGGATGCTTTTAATATGACCGTCCTTTCCTAACTAGTATCATGGAATTTCTCTTGACCAAAATGCGTGGAATTTCTCTCGACCAAAATGCGCAGGCAACGCAGAAATTGAAAAATAATATACCGTACAAAAGTTATGTTTACACTTGTCTGCAAAATACCCTGCCATTTCAGCATCAAATATCCCTATGCTTGGCCACTCAGCCTAATTATGAATCACCTTTGCTGACAATGAAATGCAGCTCTTGGCCACCTTTCCTACAACCCAAGATAATCAACATGAAAAATCAGATTGAGATATAATTCTTTGCAGACATGTATCAAACAAGTATATAGAAAATCAATTGTTCAAAGCCTGTGTATATAATTTTTAAATCATTAGAAATAAAAGTTTGAATCTGGTTGCTATATTTCTAAACCAAACAAGGGTAGAATCCAGCAATATCTGCTTGCTATGAGGTGAGTCTATTAGTTTCAACCCACTAATGCAGCATTTATTGTTCAATGGATTGGCCAAGCGGGTCAGGAAGACAGCAAAAAGTTAGGTCTCCCATCATCCATTAGGTAGCCCAGAAATTTTTGTTTTTGTTTCCTGTATATCTTTCTTCACACTTCGATAATAATACACTGAACTCAAGTTAATACAAAACTACTCTTATTTCCATGTTGATTTTTAACATTTCACATACAAAACTATTTGAACAAATACTTTGGCTACTTGAGAAAGAACTTACAGTCACCTTGACAATCAGAATGAAGTCCTTTCACATCCAGAATTTCAAGCAAGTGGAGCGATAACGTCTAAATTATTCTTCATCAACCATTTTTGGGGGTAGAAGGAAGTAGATGATTCAACATTAAGCTCCCAAACCATGATTCTTGAGCAGTCTTGCAGCAAGCCTTCCATCTGGCTTTCATCTTCCACAACTTGTTCAATAAACGAGCTTGCCTGCAATTTCAGATCAATGATGTTAAAAGTTTAAAAGAAATACACCAGCAGTATGTATCAAGGCATTTCAACAAAGGTTATGCTGCAGAATTCTCTTCCAAGGATTAATTTTTTGGAGTACAAAGTCTCAATCTTCCACATCAAGTTTTGGAGAAATCTGATCACTTTTTTTTTTGTTTCATTTTTGTTTCCATCTTTTCACTGCTCAAATATATATAAAAAAAAGTCTGATTTGAATTGCCAACATCCTTTTCTCCTTTTCTTTTCCTGCCCGACCAAAATTGACTTAATAGGCAGATGTAGTAAATGGCGGCAACAGCCATGATCACTGCAGTAAGATGAAATAATAAGAAACTTAATGACAATTAAAGAAGAGCCAATAAAAACTAACTTGGAAGCCATCTTTGACTGTGTCAAGCTGTCTAATCTGTTCAAGTGTGGGTCGGTGCCATCGCTTTGGATCCCAGAGTATGGTACTGTTGAAGGCAAACCCTGATATTTCAGCATGGAATCTTCGGAATCTCCTACTTAATCCATTTAGGTGCCATCCAATGACTAGAGTTCCATTACAAACAGGGCCCTCCAATAGAGTTCTACTTTTGTCCCATGTTTGTTTGGCCACAGTCCATGTCCCAAACTGCCTATAAATAAAGGCCATAGTGAAATAAACTGCTGTAGTGGGCACAAGTAAAAGAGAGAAGTGGATTGTGGCTATGACACCAAAAATAAATAAGCAAAGTGCTCCATGCAAAGAACGAACAGAAGCAAACCATACAGAAAAGACAAAAGCCTAACTGGAGGCATCTTTAGTAGTTAACTTTTTCGTTAACTGCCATAATTGAAGGTAACTAATTCCTTGTTAGAAATAACAAATCAAATAAAAAGTTCAACCTATTGGTGCTGACTAAATCATTTGATGCAAGTAAATCAATACATTCCGTTCATCTTTAAAGGTTGGTGCTAAGTTGCATATATCTGATTCCTATTATAGTCCAGGGCTAGGATAACATATCATCTTGACCATTATTACACTTATATGAGGTGATCTTAAGGAAATATGTTCCCAGTTATAGACATGGCATAATCAAGAGGTAGGTAATAGCTTTGGGAATTTCAGGATCTTTTCACAATTTTCCAGTTCCTTTTTTTTGTCAAACTAAAACCTCCTATACTAATAATGGTTCTCGTGCTTCACTGAATGCTCAAAAAGAATGAAGAAACCAGCCTTGATCTAGATAAGCTAACTTTCTGTTTTCTTTTTTGTCACTCATTAGGGAGTCATACTAGACAAAGAAGTCACCAGATTTGCATTATAATACCATCAAGAGAGAAATAAGCAAAAGACATTAGGAAATTCATAATAAGCATAATCATAATAATAGACAGAAAAATAAAAATATAAAGGAGATACCTAATATGCCTCATTTGCTCAAAGAGATCAATCGAGTAGATGTTATCCTCATTGGCAAAGTAGACAATTCCGTCAAGATGATGAGTTTCAATGTGAGATAATGCCACATTTCTTTGGTGGACATTTCTGTCTTTTACATCAGTCAGATTTTTCTTGCAAACAAGATGCCTATACATAAGACTGCTCCTTCTTAGGATGTCAGCTGTTTCCTCAGACTGCGAGGTCATGTCCACAACTATCCACAATAGAGGAGGTTGGACCAGCTTTAGTGTGTATGCTAAACGATTTAGATAATAGGCTTGAAGTGGTCGGGCATAAGTTGAAGTTACAACTATCAAAAGCTTAAAAGAATCCAGATCTATATCTTGAGTTAGTGATCGATTAGTCAGTGCATTATCTAAATTCCCTTCTATCCTTTCCTGTCTCTGCACCAGTGCCTGTGCATCCAATGTGACATTATTTTCAACACCAGTGATATCTCTCATTGATGTTACATTTCTTTCTGAACTGTCACGAACGGTTGATACTAACTCAAAAGAGAATGCCTGGTGCTTTGCAATGGGATTCATATAAGAAAAGTCCACGGAAATGAATGGTGTCAATCCAATAAAAAAACCAACTATGAAACAAATGAAGAAATGAAAAAGAGCCCTCCTCCAAACTTGTCCTTTTTGTTTTGACCTGTCAAGAGGCCTAGAGGATCTTGGCGAAAAGACACCAAACACCAAAGCATGAGAATCCGATAAACCAAAAAGAGAAGTTAGCAATCCACCAGTCGATGGGTAGCTCTGAGTACATGATGATGACTTGGCCAAAGGAGAAGGAACTGAACGTTCAGGCTCTCCAGTAACTAGTGTCCCCTGTCGAGGCACTGGGGATAGTGTTCTTCTAATTGATGCCATAAAACTAATCTGTTGTACCTCTTAATCAATAAAGAATCACCGCAAGAGAGCAGCCAAATTTATCACAAGCTCGTTTTAAACATAAGCAACCAATATGCAATATGTGCTCCTTGCTTCATTGCATATTCCTTAATTTATCTCTTCTGCAACAATCTAGTGCCCATATTAACCAATAAATATTAAATCAATCGTACCAGATCTATTCAACTATCTGAATTCAATTTCAAAAGTACAACTTTCCCTCTCATCTTAAAAATGCTGGTAAATCTACCAAAGCCAAAGCAAACTTCTTGATCTCCAATGAACTGTCTAAGCAATTATCAGTAATTTCAAATCCAACAGAATGTACCCAAATGCTCCATTTTAACAAAACAAGCAAAAAGGCACCACTCTTGACCATAAAACAATGAAATTCCAAACCAAAATGTAACGAAACGAGCAACCAATTTACCTTCCAATGGAAAATGGGTCTTCGATCTTCTTTCCCAAAAATCACGTAGAAGAGAGAACCAGCAGCATCTCGGAGCTTCTGTTCAATCCTTTGCAAAGAAAAAAAAAAGCATCAACATTTGCAGATCTTCCTTTGGCTTAACCAAAGGTCAGATTGAAAGGTCAAATAAGAGCTTAAAGAAAAGGTATTCAAGGAATCTTTGTAATGGCCTCGGTCCTCGAGAGTTGAGAGCCCGCAGAAAAGACAGGGAGAGAGAGAAACAATTAAAAACAGTTCAGACAACACGGCCTTTGCTCCCAATCACAAAGATTCGGACACGACACAATAAATGTTTGTTTTTAGTGTGGATATTTTTAGGTAACCAGTGGTATGATGAGCATTTAATTTTACCGATTTTTGATGTGATGGAATTAAATTCGTCAAATTTTTAATTAAACTTAAATATTAATTTTAATGAAATCAAATTAATATAAATTTTTTTATTAAAGTTTTTTTCAATCGTTACAATAATTTTATTTTTAATCATATTCATAATAAATTTTATTATTATTTTTAATTTTATAGCAATCAATTTCATCGTAAATAAATATAAGATTGAGATGTCCAGTTTACGTGTAAGCACGTGATAGCCGCACAATGCATACATGGGCCCACCATTTTAAATTTTCTTTTCGGCTCTTTTGGATAGAACAGCTTAGCCCATGCTTTGTTTTGGCAAGTGGAGTTTGATCATTGACTTTCTAGTCAAACAAAATCAACTTTCAATTATGGAATTTTTGAGAACTTTCAATGCGAATGTTGGAGGAATAAAATAATTAATGAAAAAAACATAACTCAAAAAATAATTAAAATAATTGTATTTTTTTACCGTATTAATTTTTAAAATTAATTATTTGAGTTAGTTAAATTATATTTTTAATTTATAATTATTTTAAAACTCTGCCTAAGCTAATTTTTAAAAAAATATTTTCGTTCACATAAATTTATTGCTTCAAAATTTTATTTTCAAAGTACTTTTTACATAAATTTAATGCTTTGTTTTATATTCCATAAAAAATTTAAATGATGGCTTTTAAAAGTTTATATCTTTTTTAATATATCATTACAATATTATAATTATATTAGATTTTTTATCATAAATTAAAAAAAAATTTAATACATTGATATAAAAAAATTTTTAAATTTCACAAACAAAATTAATTAAATGACCTACATCTTTTTAAAACATTAAAAAATAAAACATTTAATTAAAAAAAATATGACAGTGACATGTGAGAATTTTTTAAACTTTCTCTTAAAATAAAAAAAAATCTTTCTGCTATTAAAAAAATAAAACTTGTTATTATTTTATTCAATGATGATTAATATATTTTTAGTTAAATTTATAACTAAAATTTAATAATTTTAAATTAAATATAAAAATTAATTAAAAATAAAAATAATTTAAATAAATATTATCCATAAATTTAATTAAAAATACATTTATCATTTTTAAATAAAATAATGAAAACTTTATTATTATTTTTAAGTAGCGATAGAGGATCCTTTCAAAAACAAATCACACTTTCAATGTATATAAAAAAAGTAACTCTAAATTTAATTTACAAAAAAAAAAAAAAGCCCTTTTCGAAGCCGGCTTTAATGCAAGCAAAGCTGAAGCAGTGTTGGTGTCGATACCCGATAGTCCTCGCAAACTCCTCCTCCTCAACTTTCTCAGATCCGTTTCTCTTTCGCTTCGACGGATAGAGAGAAACCGATACAGCTCATTCCTCAATCGCCATAGCCATTAGCCATGGCGATTAGGTCTTTTCTTATTCTTTTTCTTCTCTTCTTTCTCTCTTCTCTACATCCCATCCTTTCTCTTTACGAAGACCAAGTAGGCCTCATGGACTGGTAATCTCTACTTTCTCACTTCAAATTCACAATTACCAATTATCGCTATCGTCACTTCATTCTAATCGGTTGTTTAATCTCAGGCATGAACAGTACATTGGGAAAGTGAAGCAAGCAGTGTTCCACACTCATAAAACTGGTCGAAAACGAGTCGTGGTATCCACTGAAGAGAACGTTATAGCCTCACTTGATCTCCGCCATGGCGAGATTTGTAAGTTCAACCAAATTCAATGACTAATTATTGAATTTTATTGTATTTTATATTAATTTTTTTTTTTTCAATTTTGTTTCAATTTCTTCTACATTCTTATTGGATTTATGATCGGTTGTTTTGTGCAGTTTGGAGACATGTGCTTGGGCCAACTGATGTTATTGACGGAATTGATGTTGCTCTTGGAAAATGTAAGTATGCCCATATCCGTTTTAATTTAAAAGAAAATGGGTTTAGTTTTAAATCTTGAGTTGATTTTGGATTGTTAGATTAATTGTATTACTTGATTTAGCTTCCAACTTTTGTTTGATTAAGTTTTGAATAAATTTATTATTGCAGATGTAATTACCCTCTCATCGGGAGGAAGTGTTTTAAGAGCATGGAACCTTCCTGATGGGCAGATGGTGTGGGAATCTACTCTTCAGGGTCCAAAGCACTCAAAATCATTGTTATTAGTTCCGGTTAGCATCAGAATCTTTCCAATTAACATTCTTTTCCACTCCAATCTTTTTGACACAGAGTCTGTTTTCAGTGGATCGTGGTTTCTGTAATTTGGATCTTGCCATGCTATATTTGTTGTTCTGTTGTACAATCAAGATCACTCTAATCAAATTTGCATCGAAAAGATTTTTAGTTGTCTATAGCACATACAATAGAACAAGGCTAAGTCATTTACAGAAGTGTGCTTTCTGAAACATTTCTTTTTGTTGTAGCTTTTGTCTTCTGGAAAACTTCTTGTCCTGGCTTTTGACAGGCCTTTAAAGCTCTATTTTGTAATGTAAATAGAAATTATATACTTCATTCTCCAATTCTAAAAGCCTATTTGATTGACTACATCAATTTTTGCAGACAAATTTGAAGATTGAAAAGGATAATGTAGTCCTTGTTTTTAGCTATGGCCGTCTCAATGCTGTTTCTTGCACAGATGGCGAGGTTCTTTGGAAGAAGGATTTTGAAGCAGAAAGGTAAGTCCAAATCAAAAGTTTTAAATGTCAATAGCTTCCCCCTCCACCCACCCCCTTTGAAAATAACGCTATCATTGATGTATTATATTTCCATGCCACTTGCAGCCTTGAGGTTCAGCAGGTAATTCAGTGTCCTAGCAGTGATTTAGTATACATTGTAGGTTTTGCTGCTTCATCCCAGTTTGAGATGTATCAAATAGATGCCAGTAATGGAGAGTTGTTGAAGCATGAAAGTGCAGCCTTTTCTGGTGGGTTTTTGGGAGAAGTTTCACTAGTTTCTAGTGAGACAATTGTGGCTCTAGATTCCACAGGATCAATTTTGCTAACAATAAGTTTCCGCAATGGAAAAATTAGTTTTCAACAGATACCCATTTCAAATCTTGTTGAGGATTCTTTGGGACCAGCTGTAATAATACCTTCTTCAGTTACAGGAATATTTGCAATTAAAATGAATGCAATTACTATGTTTATTAGAGTGATGGGTGAAGGAAAGTTGGAAGTGGTGGAAAAAACAAATCATGAAACATCCGTTAGTGATGCTCTCCCAATCTCTGAGGGCCAACAAGCATTTGCATTGATTCAACATGCAGGCAGTGAGATTCATCTCACAGTCAAGCTTGCACATGATTGGGATGGTAATTTGCTTAAAGAAAGCATTAAGATGGACCAGCAACGAGGGCTTGTCCACAGGGTTTTCATAAATAATTATATCCGAACTGATAGGTCTTATGGATTTCGGGTGTTGATTGTGATGGAAGATCATTCATTGTTGTTATTACAACAAGGTGCGATTGTCTGGAGCAGGGAAGATGGTCTGGCATCAATAATTGATGTAACAACTTCAGAACTCCCTGTGGAAAAGGATGGTGTATCGGTTGCAAAAGTGGAGCACAACCTCTTTGAATGGCTTAAGGTATGGAATATGAATCTTTTAAGATGATTTCAAGAATGTTATGATGTTTTCATTGAAAAGCACATTTGTTTTTCACTTTTTAACTGAAGGCAACTCTAGACTGCATGGTATGTAACTCTTTTCATTGCTTTTAGCATGCTAATAGACAATCAATTATTGACTTTGTTTCTGATACATGTTGAACTATCGTATGTATGAAGTCTTTAATGTGGTTCTGAAATTAGAAAGATTATGGACAAAGATGTCTGAGCTTACTTGTTTTATGTGTATTAACCATAGAGTTTGCTAAATGGTTTTGAACTTTTTGAATGGTACTATGTTATGTTAGTTTTAGAAGTATGAACTTCCTACTGTCAAAGCATCCATAAATGTATTCATTATTTGAAAATGGACTTGAAGATGCATATCTTTGGTTAAACCCTCTCTAACAATATGGTTATGACAAGATGCTCTTTTTTTTTCTTGAGGGACATATGCTGAAACTCAAGGGAACACTAATGCTTGCAAGCCCTGAGGATATAGCAGCCATACAAAGTATGAGGTTAAAAGGTTCTGAGAAGAGCAAAATGACCCGAGACCACAATGGCTTCCGGAAGCTGCTCATAGCACTAACAAAGGCAGGGAAGCTTTTTGCCTTGCATACTGGAGATGGACACATTGTCTGGTCTCACTTGTTACAGTCTCTACACAAATCAGAGGCGTGTCAACATCCGATAGGACTAAACCTGTATCAGTGGCAGGTTCCCCATCATCATGCAATGGATGAAAACCCATCTGTGCTTGTAGTTAGCAAGTGTGGTCCAAGTTCAGATATATCAGGTGTACTTTCTTTTGTTGACACTTATACAGGAAAGGAACTTGGCTCTTTAACTCTTGTACATTCCATTGTACAAGTTATTCCACTGCCATATACAGATTCAACAGAACAGAGACTCCATCTGCTAATCGATGCTGATAAGCATGCACATTTGTATCCCAAAACTCCTGAGGCTATTGATATTTTCCAACATGAGTTTTCTAACATATACTGGTACTCAGTTGAGGATGATAACGGCATCATCAAGGGGCATGTTTTGAAAAGCAAGTGCACTGGCGAAGTGGCTGATGAGTTCTGCTTTGACACTAGGGAATTGTGGTCAATCGTGTTCCCCTCAGAATCAGAAATGATCATTGCATCTGTCACAAGAAAATCGAATGAGGTAAAGCATTTTGTCTCCTCCCCCATGGTTTTTCTCAATTACTTCTGCTTATTTGTCAACCATCATGGTGATCTTAGGAAGAAATATCAATACTTAGTTAATCTGTATCACATTATTGCATGAAGTGACTGTTCTCATGAGTTACTCTTTCGGTTATGCACTTCTCAACCCAAGACTTAATAGTCATTGCATGATACTTGCTTCTTCATTCTTCTTTTTTTTTTTTTTTTTGTTATTGATTTCTTAGAAACCAATTATATATGATTTCATTGTCCTTTAGTGTCATGTGGTTAATGGGTGCTATGGAAGATAGGCAAATATGATTAATTCCCAGTTGTGCTTGTTCTTCTGTGTATTTTAAATGCTTATTGGTGCCTTGTTCAAATGCTGCATATATAAACCATATTGAATGCTTTGTGATTTGAGTTTTACAGGTGGTACATACTCAATCGAAGGTTATAGCAGACCAGGATGTGATGTATAAATATATATCAAGAAACCTACTTTTTGTGGCAACTGTTGCTCCCAAAGCCAGTGGTAAAATTGGATGTGTTACACCAGAAGAATCGTGGTTGGTTGTATATCTTATTGACACTGTAACAGGTCGTATATTGCACCGGGTGACTCATCATGGTTCACAGGGCCCTGTCCATGCTGTAAGTTGTCATTTATTTTCTCCTGTGTCATAAGCAGCTATGAAAGGGATGCAATTGATAATGCTTTTTGTTTCTTGTAGGTTTTTAGTGAGAACTGGGTTGTCTATCACTACTTCAATCTTAGAGCACACAGATATGAGATGTCTGTCATTGAAATTTATGACCAGTCTCGGGCTGTAAGTGGACGAACTTGAATTGTTTATGTTCAGTTGCCTCTATCTTCAATTCTGTTAAATTTATCTTTTCCAACTTAAATATTATCCACAGGACAACAAAGATGTTTGGAAGCTTGTTCTTGGAAAGCACAACCTTACTTCGCCAATTTCTTCATATTCTCAACCAGAGGTCATAACAAAATCACAGTCCTACTTTTTCACCCATTCTTTGAAAGCTATAGCAGTGACATCAACAGCAAAGGGTATAACTTCAAAGCAGCTTCTCATTGGTACAGTTGGTGATCAGGTTCGTTAAAATTTTCAGAGAGCTAAATCATGGAGTTGTCTTCACTGCTGCTTTATAGTTGTTCATCTTTTCTATTTAAAGAGTTAAGAGTTATACTATTTTCTACAAATAATTGCATTGTATGGTACTTATGTCTGTGGCATGATTTTAACCATGTTTTCCAGGTTTTGGCACTTGATAAGCGTTTCCTGGATCCCCGTCGATCAGTTAACCCCACACAAGCAGAGAAAGAAGAAGGCATTATACCACTAACAGATTCATTGCCAATAATTCCTCAGGTTAGTGTCCTTATGTTCGGTCACCCTGACCGGCTTATTCTTTGTTTCTTTTTTCTCATATATATGTTAGTTGGTAGTGTCATTACCTTCTCGAGAAATACTGTTTTATTGAGATGCTTCTTTAGTATGCATGCAAGCATGCACTAAGGACATATGAATATGCTGAACTGGCCAACCATGAGCAGTTTCTGGATTTAATCATTCTCTCTCTCTCTGAGGGGTGGGGGGGTTGGGGAAGGGGATTGGTCAAGTACCATAACTGATGGCTGTTCATGAATTGTTTCCAGTCCTATGTTACACATTCTCTTAAAGTGGAAGGTCTTCGGGGTGTAATAACTGTGCCTGCCAAGCTGGAATCAACAACCCTTGTCTTTGCTTATGGAGTGGACCTATTTTTTACGCAGCTTGCACCTTCAAGGACATATGATTCACTCACAGAAGATTTTAGTTATGCCCTACTTCTCATTACAATCGTGGCGCTTGTAGCTGCAATCTTTGTAACGTGGATTTTGTCTGAGAAGAAAGAACTACAAGAGAAGTGGAGATAAGTAAGTCTCTGCTTACTACAATTTTCCCTTTTTTTTAGATTACAGATGCTTTATGAGTTCAATTAGATTAGGAGGTTCCTTCCTGACTTGTAATCCTTCTAAAGTTTGTAGCATTTCTCGCCGTAATGTCATTTTTATAGATATTTTGTTGTTATTGAAGGCTGAAGCCCTCAAGACTCGTGGGCTACAATGTCTCAACATGGTTCCCATCTCATCGACTCTAGAAGTTAGTTTTCTAATTGGCCATCATGTAATCATTCACAAAGGCCGGGCGTTGTCCATTTATCTTCCACATTTTCCAACCCAAAATCCCTTCAGATTTCAGACTACTTACCCATTTTTCTTCCATGAAATTTGAATCCTTCCCCAGCAAAGAAGTTCAAAAAAAATTGTCCTAACAGCTAGGCTGTTACAGTGTTTTTACTGTTACACTGTCAAGCACATGGGTAAGCCGCATGTATCCATGATCCATCAAAGGCTTCAAAAGAAAAGAAGTAAAAAGGATGAAGATCGAAGACTACAAAAGTCCATCAAATAGTCTTCTATTCAACCAAAGTTGAAAGTGACATTAATCACGCATCTTTCAATCAGGATTGTCCCGTTCGCCACCAGCTTAGTCCCCAACTAAACGACGACATGTCCTGAACGTCCTCTGTTATTTCTGCTTCCCTGACACTCTGTCCCGTGCCACTTCTGCAACTGCTCAGTTCACCCATACTCTCGCAGTTGGATTATTGCATGCACCCTGTGACTCTACCACGGCTCTCTCGCTCACTTTTCCCATTACCTCAACTTCACCAAAAGAAAGAAACAAAACAAAAAAAAAAAGGCCTTTGCTCCCTCCTCTCAACTTAAAGCCACTCATCCAAAAGACTAAACTTAGCCTGAAACGAGCATGAAAACTAATCAACACCACCCAAAACTAAAAACGCACCCACGTTCACTCTTCTCATGCGGCTTTTTCCGAAACTGCACACAATCCACCCTCAGCCCCACCACTCCTCACTCTCCTTCCCTGCCGCTTTCTTCCTCCGAACCACCACCTTCCTCTCCACCTCCTTCATCAGCGCTGCTTTACCCTTCTCCTCCTCCTCCTCCTCCTCCGCCTCCCCCTCCACCACCAAAGAACTCATTGCACCAACGCCCAGAATCATCCTCTTCCTCCTCTTCTTCCTCCGCTTCCCATAGCTTCACTCAATGGAAATTCCCCATCCCCACTTCCCCTCTCCACCAAAACCAGCCTCAATCTACTCCTCTTTTTCAACCACTGCCGCCGCTCTCTCCGCCAGTTTCCTCTGCCAATCTTCAAGAACTCTTCCACATCGCCGAGCTTCAGCTCAGTACGGGTTCGCAGTCCGAACAACTGGCTGCCCTCCAGCTTTTAGAACGCTCTCTCGTACCCAACCCTCCGTCCGATCCGATTTGCCCGCCTGAATTGATGCGTGGGATCGTTTCCCATTTAAAAAACAAAGCAGGGGTAAAACCAGCTACTAAAATTCTACTAGCATTATGTTTAGCGGAAGGCAACCGCCACATAGCTGTGGAGGCGGGAGCTGTGGGTGCAGTGGTGGAGGTGGCCGCGGAGCTGGAAGGAGCAGCAGCGGAGAGAGCGTTGGCGGCGCTCGAGCTCATGTGCACGGTTCCCGAAGGAGCAGCAGAAGTGAGGACCCACGCGCTTGCAGTGCCCGTTATGGTGTCTGTTATGGGGCGGTTGGCGGGAAGAGGGAGGGAATATGCAATAAGTGTGATTTCCGTGATCTATGGAGGTGGATGCGGTGCAGGTGGCGATGGTGGTGAGGAAGAACATGAGGAGGATATGGCGCCGGCTCCACCGGAGGAGGTTGCGCGGGCGGTGGCGTTAGCGTTGCAAGGGGAGTGTACAGCTAGGGGGCGGAGGAAAGGGGCCCAGCTTTTGAAGACGCTTCAGGAGTACGGACGGCTGGATTTAACCCAAGATGGGAATGATGGTTTCTGATTTGTCCATCATTTGGGGTGGTTTCAATCACGTGATTTTACCATTCTACGTTTGATTTCACCACTCTGGTTAAGCAAGCTACCAAAATCCCACGTTTATAGATGATGTAATTAATTTAGGGTCCCGTTTTATGATTAAATGTTTAAATATCTTATGATATATTTGCGTGGTAGAAATTTGCATTCAAATGAACTTTAAAACGTAAAAAGCTAGCTTAGCTGGTTCAATTTAGATTTTTATTGTTATTTTCTTGTTTCTTTATCTAGTTATGCTCTCAATTTCCTTTCCTCCATGAGGTAAGATGTTAGAACAAAGTAATCTTAGAATAATGAGTCTAGCTCTAATCCCATGATCTGGCAATTTGTGGGTTGGATGTTAAATTTCTTTGTTATGTTTTCCTTTTTGGGTGGATGTGAAGAAATCTGAGACGTCGGGTTGCCGTGAATGTCAGATTCATGTGTGATGGGGCTGCAATTCAGACTGCCGAGTTGCATGCCGGGCCCTGGAGTTGTTGCATTGCAGGGCTGGAATCAGTCTGGACTATTTACAAACCTCTCTTTGAGGAAAGGGCAATATTCAGTTAAGATTACTACCCACAAACGATTTAAGTTATTTCATTTCCATTTCCCCTTTTGAGATATCTTTGCTTTCAATGTCAAGGGCTAGAGGTTAATACTTGTATGATTTAACCATTTGAAGTTAAAATCCTCTCATTTTGTTGCAAAGTTACGGCTTGGTTTTTTCTTTCCTCCTTTTATGCGAGAGTGATAATCCAATGATTATCAACCCCAACACCCCCCCCCCCCCCAAAAAAAAAAATGCTTTCTCTTGTAAGGGGGGCCAAGCACCAGCTTGTTCTACCCTTCCTATTGTAGAGCTCAGCTTGAGAATGAGGGATGATAAATCTACTCGAAACCATTGGATTCTGAGTTCTGACCCAATTCTCTCAGATTGGTTTTTTTTAAATATAATTTTAGGTCGGATTAAATCTTTTTTTTTTTCAAAATTGAGATTAGGTTTAACTTGGTTTTAGGTAAATCTATTGATTCGATATATATATATATATATATAATTTATTTATATATTATATTAACAAAATTATTATTTAATATTTTAATATAAAATATTAAAGTTATGTTTGGTATATAAAATTATAGATAAAATAAAATAATAATCATCATATATTATATTTGATCTATATTTAAAGAAAATGATAGGATTATTAGGAGAATTAGTTATCTTTTTGGTTTATAATGATTCAATTCTTTCAAAATAAAAAAAAATTATTTTTAATTCATGATATTAAATTTACATGTATTATTATATCTTTAAAAATTACATTAATAATTTAAATTATATAATTTTTTTAAAAAATAATTTTATCAAATTAATAAATTATTTTATCTTAATTCTTATATATATCAAACGTAATATAAAATAATATTATTTTATTTTATTTTATTTATAATATCATTTTCTCTTATCCTACCGCATCTTATCCATCAAATACATCATAACTTATAAAAATACTATATTAAATGATAAGTCTAGTGGCTGCGTCTTATTGGAAGGGTTTGAGCGTAGCTGGGCTGATTAAGCACCGGGGCGCATGGGAGTTCATGGTGGGGTAACGGAGGAGCTGTCCGTGATCATGTAATCTGAAGGGTAAGCAAAAATAAGCCAAATTGCACCTCAAGATCAACTTCTGAATGCAGCAAAAGTTTCATTAGGACTTTTGGGGTTGATCTCGAAGGTGAGCAAAAGTTTAAACTCTCTCCGGAGCGCGGATTTAAGAGAAGCATAACATATAATCACACAAGGGATACTCTGACTGAAAATGAACTCCTAGAACATGCCAAGAAATCTGAATTTGCAGACAGCCAATGGTATCCATCAAGACATACAGCTGTGTATAGATATGACAGCAGAGTTGCCGTGGATACCCCTGGGGATGGAATAAATGATTATATTGATTTGCAACCAAATTCTAAATTGTTCTCTCAATCAGTCAGAGCAACAGGTAATTGACCTCACATGTAACTCTGCTGCTAGAAGCAATAATTAATGCATAAATATTGAACATTTTGCAGAAAAAGCATTCGAGAGTGCCAGAAATGTCAGTGAACAATATTCGCTGGAGTTACCATTATGGAACAGAAGAAACTGGTTGCCAATGGGTTGAAGAGCCATGGCCTGCATTTCATAGGGTGCCCAGTTGTGGGTCCCCAAGGAAAGATGCAGACATATCTGGTTCTTGTTTGTATTCATCCACAGTTGATAGTACATGTTCTTGGGATCCAAGAATTACTAATGGATTTCCGTTTTTTGAGTCAAGTTCAATAATTAGTGCTGCAAATTTTGGGCTTTGGGGACGTCATCCGAAATGTGAAAAGACCAAGGGACCTAAACCCAGAAAACTTTTGTGGGTTGGATCTCTATTCCGGGTTTCTGTTGCGTTGCATCAAGGCTTCAAAGGCATATCTATGCCAACCTGAGGACTCTGTAGTTGTTGATTTCAACTATTGTTGTGCTGATGATGGTTCCACAACCAAGATGTAATGGAAGAAGTTGAGCAAATGGCATTCTTCAAATATGGGGGTAGGCCACACTGGGGCAAGAACAGGAACCTGGCATTCTTGAATGTGCAAACTAAGTATCCCAAGTCCCAACTACTATGAGTTTTGCAGCAAAGCAAATGGACCGACAAAACATGTTCTCAAGCGAATGGTCGGACGAGATTTTCTTCCTAAAAAAGGTGTTAAAAAAAGTGATGGATGTGCCTTAGAAGGGCTGTGCATATGCTCAGAAGATAGCCATTGCTGTTCAATCAAAGGGCATCTTTGCAAAACAAGGTCTCGTTTCCAATGAAGCAAGAGTCTGCTGATATTCCCCATCCTCCATGGTCTAATAATTAATACCTTTCTGCAAATTTTATAACAATAATAAATCTGTTATTTTCCGATTTCCACGAAGAGATTGACAAATAGAATGGCGTGGATTTTAGAGTATGTTCGTTTTTTTTTCCCCTAAATGCAGTTTGAAGCTATCTTTGTCTTTCTTTGCTTCCCTTTTTTTGGACAAGGGATAACTCTTGGACATGGCAATATTCCTGCTTAATTTACATTTTGTGAAATTAATTACTATGACCTGTTGAAAAACAACCCTAAAATGGCGGTTTTCTTTTTCTTTATTTTGTTGTTGTTTTATTTTCCTATGCTTACTATTAAAGTATTAATAGAGTAAATTAGATTATATATATAGGGTAATATATATGAATTATGAACGTTAAAATAGTGGAATGATATTATAAATCGGAGTTCATATTGTAAGAATTGTCGTGTGAGTACTCCTTAATATATATATATATATATATATATATATATATATGTTTTAATTTCCGTGACCATGTACAAATTCAATTGATTATAGAAAAACCAATTATTAATTAAAGAAATAAAAAAATAATGACAAAGAAAATTATATAACAACATAAGAAAACATCCCCCAGTTATCCCCCTAAAACAAACACGATCGCCTTATTTTTTCCATCCTATTTCTGTTGATATATCTTCTTTTTTTTTTTCTTTTTCAACACTTTCAAAATTGAATGAATCATTAATTTCTGTGTTTCATTTTTCCACGAAATTTGCATGAGAACGAGAATCAAGAGCCGGACTAATTATGGTTATAGCTTATAAGGGTGCTAACTGCTGCTAAAAGAAGCGAGCTCATGCAGCAATGGTCACCACCACACTAATACTCCGATCAAAGGGCCGTTCATTACAGCAACAAGAGTTACTGTGCTGTGTGATCCCAGCATTCTTGGACCACTTCACCGCCCAGCTCCTCGAATCAGATCATTGGCGAGGCTACCGTTCATGCGGCTAGCACTAACCACTAAGCCGCTGCATGCTAGTATCTCATATTGCGTGCATTACAGATATAAAGCTAGACTGTGCAAAACCCACTCGTTCTCTCTAATGGTTCAGACTTCAGTGCGAATGTTGTTACATGAAAGAGGCACCTTATTCATGCCCTGGCTGCTGGTACAAGTTTTTCAACATATATATTTGCTTTGCTCCCAGAACCTGATCCAAAGGGAAAGTAATTGCAAGGGTCGGTTTGATGACGTGGCTTCTGATTGCTGGTTGACCAGTTGTTTCTTTTTAATTTGTAGCTATGATATAGGCCTGCGCATTTAACCTAAACAAAGCTCAAAACATTCATGCAGTTTGAGGGGATGAAGGCCACGACCCACGAGCGAGGTGAATGAATTACTAGTCATATATATCCACTTTTTTTGGGTGTTGTTTTGTTTCTGGTCTGCTGTTGACAGGCACAGCACAGCAGCCTATAGTAGTAGTAGCATATATAGGATAGAGCCAACCTGCAGATAGGAAGGCAAGGGTAACGATATTTTCTTGGCCAACTGCAACGTCCTAAGTTGCCAAAGTACGCATTTGTATAAACTACTACTCCAGCAATTATAATCCAAAAAAAAAGCCTATAACACATTTAAGGGGCATTCAAATAGAATACTAGCAGTAGATATTATATATAGATTTATAGAACACATGATAAAGATGTTGAGATCTGAAATGAGAGGGGAAGACCCACAATATGCGTCATTCTTTTAACCCTGCAAATAAGCTGATTTAATATTAATGAATGAGAAATGAGAAATGAAAAAGAATTGAAGAGAAAATCACTACAACAGTAGAGATTCAGACAAGAGAGTTAATTTGCATCCATCGATTATCTTGGTTACTATTGAATTATTAATATTTAGTTTCTGCAACCATTATTTTAGTAGGTGGTAAAATCTTTAGTTTCATGCTTAATAACTAATAGTATCATCGTGACAATTGTTTCAGTCATAGTTTGAACTTTGAAGTGATGGTCAAGTTTTTACTCTTGCAAGTGCTCGAGTACCAGTTCAGGACTTGAGAGCGGCCACTGCTCACGTCAAAATGATACGCTCTTTCAGTTAGGTGATTATCTAAAGGATTTTGCCTCATCGTAGCAAGACTCGTGCTAGATATGCACTCTATAGCATATATCCCTCTGAAACATCTGAATAACCATAGTTTCTCCAATTTAGTAATCAACAAGGAGAGAACCACAAAAGAAAAAAAAAACAATAAAACCAGTAACATACTATATTACAGGAAAAGATATTTCTGCTTTCAGTGAATAGGTATGGTATCCAATAGGATTCAGAGGATACCATCTCTGTTTATCTCTCACTCTCTTTCCAAATCTTAAGAGCTATAAATTACAATTGAATAATCAATAACAATCAGATATTCCTCTAGGGCTCTTCAGAGTTATGCTTCATAACATATATAGTGGCTAATTGCCTATTCTCTGATTCCATTCCCACCAGCTGCTCAATTATGGAGCATAGACCAAATTATTTAAGTAACAAACAAGCCCTTTTGAGTACTAATAAGGGCATTGTTTTGGTTTTACAAACCGTTGTCCAGGAAAACACAGGCATACAACACCGAATAAGTACAGTTGATATGCAAGGGTGATTGTGCAGGGGTCGAGGCTGAGGCATATGCAAATATTTACAGGCCTTAACATGCAGCAAACATTTTTTTTCATGTTCTCAGGCTTGGCAATGGAAAATGGCAAAGCAAGTAGAACATTTTTAGTTCGAGAATAAAAATCAACTTGTGCAAAATATAACTGGTTTGATGCCTGACACTTCATAAGGCTTCTAAGCTTTTCTTCTTTTGTGGAATCAAGGAAGGTGCTTCAGATTTTGCCTGCTGAAAATTAGACAAGTCAAATACTGATTGAAGAATTCCAGAAAAGGAAGTGCAATTGCTTGGTGTTTGGAAGAGATTAATTTGAACCCAAAATGAAGATGGAAGGGGTTCTGAAAAGCTACCAGCATATATAATGATAACAGTTTCACGAAGATCAATTTCGTGAATGCTCTTTTCTAACAGTAGGCTTCCTCTGACGCTTGTGCCCAACCAATTTTCTACAGCCAGATGAGGGAGCTTCCCTTCCAAATTTCAGGTCTTCACCTCCAATCATGTAAATGTTTCCTGCCGCAGGCACAGTAAAATCAGCAGGATTTCTGTTAATGCAGCAGATTTTGTTCTCTGAACCATTTTTCGGATGGAAAAGGGTGCCACTCATAGTCCGAGCATCCTGCTTCTGTTTTGTTGCACTCTCTATTGCATGAATCTGAATCGGAAACATCGTAAAGTCTGAAGTGCCAAGCACCAGTTTTGGCATGCTATGAACAGGAATGGATCCACAAGTTATGTTTAAGCCACTGCTTGAAGATAAGGTTTTTTGTGATCTGTGGTTTCTATTCTGCCTCTGTGAGTCTGAGAATTTTTTCTTTTCTTTCTCTCTAGACTTGAGTGAAAATTGACCCATAATATCAGTTGCCTTCTTGAAAGCTTTATCATGCTGGAATGAAGAAGTCGAAGGACCAACTGGTGGAGTGGCCGACATACATTCACAGAAACTCTCAGGTAGGTGGCCTTTACCATAACAATCATAGGATGGATGTTTCATTGAATTGTTCCTATATCCCCCAGATGGCAGGCTTGACAACTCATTAGAGCGATGACCATGAAGAAAGGAAGTTTTTTTAACAAATCTTTGGTTTCCATCCACATTAACTGGTGCACCTGACTGTAACCCTGCATCCATAAGGCTGAGTAGATGCATCGCTGGTATAGTTTCATTAGAATACAGATCTAACGACCCCATCCCATTATGTTTGCAAGCAATTGGGTAATCTGTATGTGTCCGTCCAAGGACTTCAGAATCAAACTTTCTACTATGCTTTTCAAAGTTTGAAGCCAGATTTGAGAAGTTCCTATCATCTCCACTCATATTTCCCTTAGGCAGACTGCAGGGAAAATGTGAAATTACATCTACATTTGCCCCCTTATCTGCATGCTTCTTAGGGATGCCATTTAGATAGGAAATGTTTTTTGGTATTGTGGATGGCCATAGATGAGCGGCTTCTTTATACTGCTGTGGAGCACTCTGGCATGTGTTACAAACTCCCAACGCCTGCACGCTAATGTGAGAGGACCTCTGGCCAACCATGTTCCCGATCCACTGGCAATTTTGAGCACTGTTTTGCCTGCTGGAATTGGTAGCAGAAAATTGGAGTCCATTTAGAGGCTTCTCTCTACATAAAGGAAAACGTTGAAAGCCGGCAGGGGAATAACTTTGTTCCAAATGGCTCATATTACACTGGTTTCCGTCCATGTGAGAGAAATAATCAACTGACTTTTGAATGGATCTCACATTATCACCCATTACAATTTTGCCAATTCTTCCGTTTTTAGCTCGGGGTTTTGGTTTATGAGTGGTTGCATGAAACAGGCTCATCTCTTCATTTCCATATACTTTATTAAGATCCACCCTCTGATAATTTCTGGCGTTGTTGGTTGTTTCTGATAGCTGTTTATCAATTTCAGTATCTGGAAGACACCTTTCATACTGATTCTTTGCCATGAGTTCAACGATTTCCATGGGTATGTCATCTAAAGCTCCTTGCTCAGAGGCCATTTCAGCTCGTTGATCGTAATGTTTCCTAGCAACTGTTGAATGGTCCTGAAGATCCACAGTTTTCCCATTGTTGCTTGTACCACTGAAATCCTGCAAAAGAAAACAGATAAAGAGAGGAAAAATCAGCTCTCAATTTGACAGAAATCAAAACATGGAAATAAAGATGCATCAATTAGCTGAATTATTCCTAATTACTAGTGAAACATAGGGAAACATCTGCCATAAAGGTTAGCTATGTTTTCAGGTATAGGTTAACCTACTCATAACCGTGAATTTCACTGGATTGCTTATGTTAATCAATGCTACATGTATATGTAGTCTTCAAAATTATGAATGAGAATGTTAGTACCTAAGTTTGCAGATATAAGATGACATAAGCTTATATCAGAAACACAATAGTCATTAATGTCTAAACAAATTCCAAGAGAGATTTATATTTTTGTGCAATGACTAAGGATGGCATTAAACAGAAGCTGTTTCAAAGTCTAAGCAAGATAGGGATGATTTCATACCTAATCTTTCCACATACTTGTCCTGATAAAACCTCAAGGTTGGAATAAGAAAAAGACAATACCTTCGCTTTTCCATAAATACAAGTACAAAAGTATAGCAGAGTTCTCAACTATGTGAACCTATTTTCTCCAAAAATAAAGATATATATACTTTTTAAGTGATTCTTATATGTCCTCCCACAGAATTACATCATCGAGGCAATAGTGTCTTACCTATGTTTGATTTAATAGCTTATCTTCCTATTCATTATTAGAAATTAAAGTTTTTATAACCAGTTGTGGAAAAGGGAATGTTTCTGCCTCAAAAGCCACAATAATTTAATCTGAAAGTTCCAGAATTTTACTCTGAACATTAACCATAACTTTAAGAATTCATGTATACGAAAAATGTAAAAACAATCTTATTACAAACTTAGTTACAGAGGAAGAAAACCAAATTTTGGGGAATTCACAAAATCTCCTGCCACAATTATCTTGTGCATTTTTTTTTTCTTTTCAAAAGCTAGTTCATTAACTGGGGTGACAAAAGGAAAGCTCATACCATTTGCTGAATCAGAGAACAACTCCCAACTTCAGCACGAGAGCTGTGCTTTTGCTTCTCATTCAGTAATGGTATTCCGTATATAGTTTGGTTACTGTTGAGACCAACATGCATTTCCTTCCAAAGATAGGCATCCAGTTGAGATTTAGAATAAAAACTACAGTCTCCAACATAATTCATCTTTAGATCTTTCCTCCCAATCTCATAGTCACTGAGAACACGCCCTTGCCAAGGCAATTGAGATGGTAGCCCATCTCTGATTGGTGTAATATATTTTCCATCATATGTTTTAGCAGGCAAGCAATTATTAAGTGAAAATTGCAGTCCTTTTTCAGCTGATGCATCCTTGGTTACTATAAGTGGAACAGCAACGGACCCACTTTGTCTTATTTCTAAATCCTTCCTTGAAGCCAGACCTTCTCTGAGAATGCCATTGTTCCAAGTAATTGAAGAAGCAAACCCATCATGATCTTGATGCACCTTGCTCTTTTTCTTCAATAAATTAGATTTTTTCTCTGCCTTTTGGGAAGATTCAGGAGAGGAACCCAACCCACTGCCTGCAGATACATCATTTGATTTGTACAAAACAATATCAGTGGCATTGTTCTTAGTGGTATCTCCAGGCTTTTTCTGTCTTTCCTTCTGCAGATTTTCTCGAGACAAGGACAAACATTTATCAAAATTCTGGGTCTTTTTATTTTTCTTCTTTCCTATAATAGGACTTTTATCAACTTTAAAGTTTAACAAATGGCTCTTTGCAGCAGTTTGTGAGCCACTTCCATTAACTGTACCTTCTGAATCAAAACTTGCAATTCCATCAGCAGTTTCAACACCTCTTTTGAAGGTCCTAAGATTTTTATGCCCAATATATGGAGAGCTCATTTCCCCCGGTCTCCATTCTTCATGCTGTGGCAACTTTCTTTTCCTACTATGAGCCAAACTGCTCATAACATTTCCTGGGAAATTGACTTGACCTTGGGGAGCAGATACTAAATCTATGCCTATAGATGCATCAGGAATGGCACTGGAAGGAGAATCTTCTGTACTTGTGACATCAGTTTTTTCATCTCCATTTTCACCCAGCAATTCAGTCAGCAGACGTACCTTAGGGGTTTTTCTTCGATGCATGCTGCTTGCACTTCCATGCAATTTCTCAGCACTTTCAGCTGATGCATAATCAAAATCATCTAATTCCAATGAAGGATGTTCAGCTGTACGAGTCTTGATAGAATCAGGAACCCCATTAACTACACTGGCTATCCCATAAGAACCACCAGCTTTCACAAACTCCATCTGCTGATCAGAGGCAGAATCATGTTTTCCTGTTTGACATCTATCAGTGGCATCCTTAACCGAGCACTTCGGGTTTGATTCAGGAAGCTTAACACCAGCAATGTCATTATCTTTTATATCGGGCTTATGAAGTTGCAGAGAAGCCACTGTTGCAGAAATCAGAAGCATTGTTATTGCAACAACTGCAGTTCTAGTTTCAGTTGCAAAGCAGGAAAATGGTTAAGCTTTTTTAGCTGGTCTTTTATTCATAGTAGACATACCTTTATCATCTATATGAAGTGATTGCTGCATAAGGTTAGAAATAACTTCTATTCCAGCATAATTTGAAACATGGATGTCCTTATTAATGTTATTTGCCAAGACATCGCCTTGACCTGGAAAAATCACCAAAACAATTAATGTTCTAACATAGTGGTAATCACATTAAAATAGTTGAGCAAGGATGGAAATTTACCTATGATTGGCATATTTTCAATTTCAGCTGCTTTTCCACTTTTATCACTAAATAAAGGATGATAGTCACTGCTATTGACATTCACACAAGCATTAGCATCAAGTTTTCTTGATTCAACATTAATCTTTCCAGCCCACTGCAAATCTGATAACCACATCACAGCACCACCATGGGATGACAAATGGGGACAAGAGCCAAAGGATTTCAATTTGCTACTAATATTAGCAACAGTTCTTAGTTCATTTACACTACCTTCAGCCCCATTTTCCTGCTGGCAGTTTTGGCAACACCACCATCTGAACTTCGGAACAAGTAAAGGAGGAAGCTTACAGTTTTGTTCTTCAGATATATTCTGGTCTCCAATATCTAATGCAAATGGCCAGCATTTCTTCCAGTCCTTGTTGCGCATCTCAGATGCATATCCACTGCATTTAAAACAAAGGGATTTTATAAGGAAGACTTCCAAACATGAACATTAAGGTACTACATATAGCAAGTCTGGAAGTAATGCTGACAGAACTATATATCAGCATAAGCCATTGATACATAAAAAATGTCACAATAAATTTCCCTCAATATCTAACTTTAATCCCTTTATTAGATTCCAGTACATGACTTAGCAGTTTAGTATCCTCTCCTACGTCATGGAGATATGGTCCTAGCAGCCACTAGGTTAGTCCCATTCCATCTCAAACATTATGCTAATTATAAAGAATAAAATACTACAGCAGATGCTACCATTTACAAGTAGAAGATCCAAAACCAAAAAATTCTGATCCTATTCTCAAAAATATAGTATCTATAAAATGGGGCAAAAAACTCGTGCACACACAAACAAGCATATGATGAAGTTTGTGAGGAAGCATGAACAACAGAAAGAAAGAAGATAATTCATTTTAATAAGTCCTGTTCTGATAAATAATTTAAAAGCCATTCATTTATAATAACGAAGTAAGCCTGTAGGTGCAGTACCTTCATGAAACAAATGATTTGACTAAGGAAACATATCTCTCTCAAATACGTATACACTTACAGCATATAGCCCCACATTCAAACAGACACCATACCAGACACCCATTTTCAACAGCATTTGTAATATAGAGAGGCTGAGGAAGTTCAAAAAATTTACAGGAGCACTTATCAATAGTAAGGATCATAGCTTACCGAATGGAAAAATGCTCACACTTCCCAGTATCAATGTCATCATTAGCATTGATGAGATCTATAGATATTGAGTCAATCATTAGCGGTGATTCCACAGTCTTGGCAACAAGATCAGAACTGCAACTCTGATGAGTTTCCTTGACTGCAATAGTACTCCCCATGATATGAGTAACTAATTAACACCACCAATGTGCAAAAATAAGATATCCAATGTGCATAGGTTTACAATATGTATTAACATTGTAACCATATCCATATGCTATGTGATCAATGTACGTGCATAAGAATCTAAGATATTAAATATTTGAAAGAACTTAAGCACACATTTCATTCATAATTCCTATAAAATTCAAAATGAAAAAACATAGTCATAGTAAAATAGATATACTAAAACAGATGAGAAGCTGGAAAGCCCCTATATTTGATGATTTATCACATAAAATAATAACTGATAGCAGTAGAAAAGTGAATACTATTCAAAGGGAACAAAATTGGAAACCCTAAATCCAATGAAATCAAACATAAAGATGTTTTCAGTAACTATATTGATGTTTCAATAACACCCTAATAAATTATATAGCAAAATCCATTCATTTATAATACAAAGTAAATCATGAAATAACACCGATAAGGTAAACAACATGTTAGGGTTTTATCAGATAATTAGAACTAATAAAGTTCGCATTCAGAAGAATAGTTTTGTTACCTCCCCTATACCAAAGAAATAATCCACTCTAAAACTCACCTCCAAAACCTTCAGAATTAGATGGTAAAATAATTCACATCAATTCACAAAATGAAAATTTTTCTAGGGTTTCATCAGTTCCAAATTCACAAGCCACTGAACAGTAAACACCATTTCTAACACCAGAAAACCCATCAAAAAGGACACATAAAAGATCCACAAAAGTGAATGGATTAACTCATAAAGCAACACCCAGATGTCAAAATGTTAATAAAAGGCTGACTTAACGTACTAAACACAGTAACTAATCCCAAATAACTGAACTAAACAAGCTCCGGCCTAGCTTAAACTCACATTAATGAAAACAATACCACTCAAAAACAAAAGAAACCCAGTGCTTTAAATTGTAATTAGATTAGAAAAACATACCTGTATTTGAGTTAGCTATCTGTTAAGACAATCTAAAACAAACCCAGCTTCGATTCTTCACGGCCAGTCGATAAAATGGTATCCAAAGAAAGAATATTGAACGAACAAGAAGAAGATTCAATCCTTTTGGGGAGATCTGAAGCTGGTTGTGTAGAATTTGAGTGCGAAGTTTGGAGCAACCCTAACTTAACAAGGAGAGGTTTTTCGATCCATTTAGAAAGAGAGAAGAGAGAGTAGATAGAAAAGTTTTTTTCTTTTGTCCTTGAAAGGAGGGTCTTTGTTGCTTCATTAAAATCATCTGCAAAAAAAGACAGGTATATTTAAAAAAAAAAAAAAAGACACGACCATGTCCATGTCATAACATTAGACTAAGCGAGTAAGCATTAGAGAGAGAGAGAAGGTTAAGAGAGAGAAAATTGATGTGAGGAAAAGAACCAATGGTTTTAGTACACGTGGAAGGAAGGTGCGGTTCTTATCACAATCATTATGGGTGTTGTGTCTTAAAAGAGAAACCCTAGAGGGAATAGTAAGAGCACTACTCTCACGCGTTGCTTGCACGCTCCTCTTCCCAGCATCAAACTTTAAAGAGTTATGGAGTCATTATCGCATCATGAGGTCTCAAAGATGCTTTTCACTTAAACAACCTACGGGTGGAGCGTATGTAAACGCTCCAATTGGGAGCGTGGATAAGTTTGAAATGAAACCCTAAGCCTAAGGTTTAATTTGCTTTTATTTCTGTCATGTAATGAAATGTGTAACCCTAGCTAGTCCATTTTCATAATAAATATATATCTAACCCTAACCCTGGCCTAGTTAACTAGTCAGCAAATTGAGAGGTGGGGGTGGTGAGGATGGGGTTCACGTTCACATGGATTTGGGTTTGGGGGCACATTCACAATTAGCTTCCAATCATGAAAATATATATCCCATCCTTTTGGGGGGCATCTTTGCTTTTATTCCACCTTTGAATCTCACCCCACCTTTCACCTAAATTGGATTGATGCTTTAAACTTACAATCTCCTTATAATAAATTCTTTCATTATCTACATAAGCTATAGCCGATAATGTTTTAGCCAAATGATAGATTCTTTACTTGTAGAATAGGGAGAAGTTCATCCATGGGTGGATTGGGGTTTAAGGTAGTAAGAAGGAGGGGAAAAAATACCCTAGTAAATATAAGTGAAAACAGAAGATTACTTTTGTTAATTATGACATGTTGGCTGAGAAAAAAATTGAGAAGCTTTACTTATAGAGTGTCCAAATATGCATATGATGATGCTATATTTCTCCCCCACATTCCAAAGTCCCTGCCAATTGGTTTATCGGATGCTTGTGAATGTGGTCTTTTTTCTTCATTTAATCTCGTGTTTTTTCTTAGTTTTTTAAAACAACAAGAAGATTAGTAAGATATTTGGAGTTCCTGGTATAGTTAGTTCAATAATCGTGTGGTGGCACAGCTAGCACCTGTTCTCATAGAAAGAGTAAAGCTAGCTAAAAGAAGCCATGCATATGACTTGGATTGACAAAATCATATCAACCATATGTTTTCCTACTGCTGCTTTCTACAACTCACTTTCAGGTTGAAAAAAAATCAGGGCCGGCAGCCATTGTTTTCGACTAATAATGAATGTTTTCTAAATGGGTTTTGCAACTCTTTTTTATATTATATTGTAGTAATTAGTAAGGACTTATTTTAAAATTGTATAGTAGAAATTAAGGCAACAATAATAGAGAAGAAGTGGGTGGCTAAGGTGGATTCAGTACAGTACCCTTTTCATATATATTGGACAGCTTGGATATTCCAGTTTCCCTGTCTGGATCCAGGGGACAATGAACCCAAAGATATTTGTGTTGAATTTGGCAAAAATATGTCATCGATCGATCTTGAGGATTTGTTGGGTATAATGACTGAAAGGGATACATCATCGATCCTCTTACGGAGAGGGCCCTCCTTGTAATGTTCTGCTTCTGCCATCGTAGGCATAGATCCACCACACACATCCAATAAAAAAAAAGACAAAAAAAATGTTTCCAAGGTAAGTGTTTCATTAGATGACCAAAGTTCACCAGCTTTCTGTTCCTGAAATTTCTCATATATGGCTCATGGTGTTGCAGTTAAGAAATGCTAATTTATGACTCAGAAATCTCACCTGGGATTTTGGGTAAGAAACCATAAACTTCAACCAACCTTGTTGAATGTTGAAAATGCCACAAAACCTGCAGAAATGCTGTTCTAAAAAATTTTCTAGATATCTGGATTTATATCAATTTACAGGAACAATGTGGAACGGTGTTGCTATATATATATATAATCTGGGTAAGAACCAGCACACAGAAGGCTCATCAATCAGAGAGGGTTACGTTAGCTGATATATAAAGGGAAACTAGACCAGACCTTGTAAACTAACTAAAGAAAAAGGGCTAATTAAACCTCTTCACGCTGGAAAATGGAAATTGTTCGGGAGCATTATTTTTTTGAAAACGCTTTGGGACAAAGCCCAAAACTTTTTTCTGTGCTCAAAAAGTTTGTTTCAGTTCGAAGTTGAAATAATTCTCCAAAACCCAATTAGTACATATATATGATGATTTCGTACCATATATATTATCAGATGAATCTACTCATTTTTCCACTAAATCTATTGCATATATATATATATATATATTCTTCTTATGTTTATATAAATTGTGCTAATATTGGTTATAATTTTGATTAAGCTTAGAAATTGAGTTTCATAGCTTTCTGCCAATTCCGGGTAGTTTGTATTCTTTTATGCATAACACTTGTATTACCATATATAGTAAGAATGTACTAGACAAGTTTACAGTACTACTAGTATTAATTTATACATACTCAACCCACAAATTCTTTTTTTTAATTTGAAATTATTTAAAATTAAACTTTAATCATTAAAATAAAAAAGTCATTATTTTCATGATAAATCACGTCAAGCAATCCAACCCCCAAATTCAACACTAATAATTATATTATAATTAATCAATTACATTCTAAAATTATATAATTAAGATTTATCAAAATATTATATGAAATTTACTCGTGAACTTTTACATAATTATTGATTATAATTGAACAACTATAATATTATAATAATAAAAATTGCATTAGAATGCTTATGTACTGAAATAAGATGGCATATTACTTGCTTTACTTCTCCAATATTTAATTAAGAACATAGAGCAAGAAAGATTCCAAATTAAATATAAGGGGAAAAAAATAGCCCCACAAGATTTACTGAGCATAGATTTTACCGTACAAGAAGATAGATAATCACATGGCTACGCTGTTTTGTTGCATACATATGTACAAAGAGAAAGATTGGATTGTGATCAGACAGCTGCTATAGCATAGATGTCACTTCGCCAGACCAAATTATATTAATAATAATTATTAATAAAAATAGAGATTTGGTTTTCTTTTTTCTTTTGCAAAAATTTTTTTTTTTGATGTTTAAAAATATTATTACCATATATTTGCTTTTAATAAAAACCAAACCAGGCTGTAAACTTCAGATTTCAGGAGTGGTACTCATCAAAGATCCTGGGCCATTAAATTCAGATTATTTTCAAAGTGGAATTTTGAAAAAAACTTGAATAATTTTTTATATAAAAAATAAATAAATTTTTGTTTAAATTTTTAATCTGATTGAATAGTTAAAATGCAAAGGTTAAGAAGGTAATAAATTATTTCGTGAAAATCTATTTTTTTGAAAATTTTTAATAATTTAAATATTATCCGTTATTAATTAACAGATAAGGAACATCTCCAGTGTCATTATATATATATATATATATTATATGTCATAGTCATACTAACTTTAATAAAATAATTTTTTTAAGTAATTAATAAATATTGGCTATAAATTCAGACAATATAAAAGAAGTTTTAGATAAGTTACCTCTATTTGGTAGGAAAAAAAAAGAGAAAAAAAAATAGTTGAGTTACAAAATAATACATATCATAGTAGGTAACTCAATCATTATATTAATTTTTTTTTTCATTTCTCTTTTTTTTTTATTGAATATGGGATAAAATATGGAAATAGTGAGATTCCTACTCTTATTGTATGTATATTTTTAAGTCTTCTTAATCACTGGGTTAAAAAAAAAAAAAAAACAGAAGATTTTCTACTTTCTTTCCTTATCATCAAAGAAACTTTTGAGGTTTTTTTTTTTTTTTTAAATCCAATCGTACCGTAATTAATATGAAAGTAATATCCATTAACTAAGTCAATTAACGTTAACTTCTATAAGGTTAATGGACGATTACATTAATTTGAAAAGTCGGATTAATGGTGTTGGTAGACATTGGTTAAGGATAATTAAATTATTATTTTTAAAAAGTTTTGCATTTAATGTATTATTTTCACAAAATTTAAGATAAAATAATACATTAATTATAATTTTCATTTCTTAAATATCACCTTAACCAATGTAATTAAGCACTGATTAACATTTTTTCAAATTAAAAATATTTTCTATTATGGGGGATCAATACGTGGACAAATTGCCCTTTAAATGAGTTTATTTACCAATTGCTTACCAACTTATATGTTATTGCTAGCGTCCACATCACGCTTTACACATCAGCAACTTTTACCCGGGAGGGGTATACTTTTTCCCCCACTCTCTTGTTTTTTTTTTTTTTTTTTTTACATTTTCTTAGTCATTTACTTACTAATAATTAAAATTATGTACATTTCATTTTTATTCTTTCTTTAAGGTGTGTCGTGTACGGAAGTATATTATTTATAATTATCTAATTAAAATAAATATTTATATAAAATTTTATTACTTATAAATATAAATTTCATATAAAATTTAAATAAATTTTATATAATTTTAAATTGTTATTAATTAATTATATTATAATTATTGTTAGTAATACGAACACGTAATGAGATATCTTTGTCTCAGTAGGTGACATTTTTAAAATAATCAATTCCGAAAATTTTAATGTATACAAAGTAAATGTGTTCTATCAAATACTTAATTTAAGGCTCCGTTCGGGTAAAACGCTTCAATATGAAGGGAAGGCGGTAAAACATTTCATCGCGGTTAAAAACTTTCTTAATGAATCGAGCCAATGTGTTCTATCAAATACTTAATTTATTGTTTAATTATAAGTAATTATATATTACTTTCCATATATAAAAAAAAAAGGTATATAAACACAGTCAACATACATAATTGTAGGCTATCTATGAAGATAGAATTAAAAAAAAAAATGGTCCCATTAACAATAAAAACAGCCGAATAATTAATCTTATTCCTTGAATTTAGGCCATGTACCAGACTCTTTTTGGAAAGCTAGAAGCATTTGCATTGAACTTATGGTAGTTGGGGGAGAGTCAGAATTATAGGTAGAAATTAATAGTGCAAGTATATATATATAAAAGAAAGAGCATGTATAATTGTATGTAAGGAATCAATCAAATATAAAAGATGACAATATATTTAAGATAAATTATCTCCTTATGAGTTTTAAATTTAAAAAACTCGATTAATCGAATGATATATATGTTTTAATATATTAAAAAATAAAAAATAAAAAAGATACGTGCTATTCTTATAATTCAGTTTATAAGATTTAAAAATTATATTACATCAAAAGCGAAATCTATATTTAAATACTACATACATATTTATTGGTAATTTGTATTAAAATTTTATTAAATGATATGTTTGAATTTATTAAAATTTTTTATTTAAATAGCATATGTTTTCATTTATGTTTGTTGATTGCTAATTTTAAACGAAATTTAGAGTGAAGAGACTTCGACTTAATATTTTGTAATAACTCGATTAGAATAACAAAAAAGTTCATAAATTTTATTATTGTATTTAAATTAATTTTTATATTTTTATTATATTCAAATAAATCTTTAATTTTTAATATGTATTAAATAAGCTTTTAATGTTTAATTTGTATTCAAATAATTCATAATTTTTAATTTGTACAAAAATAAATTCTTAACATAAATGGATTGTTTGTTTGAAATAAAAACTTATTAGAATACAAATGAAAAATTAAAAACTATTTTAATATAATAAAATATAAAAAATTATTTAAATAAAATGATATATTTCAAAATTTAAAATATTTTACTGTTCAACAAAAACTGTATATCCTATAAGATTAACAAGAAAAGTATTAATTTTATCGATGAGTAAAAATATTAGGTTATTGATAAAGTAGTTCTTTCACGTAATTATTTTTAAAAATTATTTCATTTTTATGGGTGTGGATATATAAAAAAAAAATTTTTGAGCTTCTTTTATTTATCATAAATGTAGGATCATTAGTGATAATTAATTTAAAATTTTTAATATATAAAAATAATAATAACCTTATGTTTGTACCCTTAAAACATTAGTTAACAAAATTTTATTAAAAATAAAAAAAAATCACAATGTTAATATATTTTAAAAATTTTATTCAAAATTAACTGTACTTGCTAGATGCATTACATGGGTACTTAATAATTTTAGATTTGATTTGATAACATAATATAAAAATAATAAAAAATATTATAATTTAAAATTTTGATAAAAATTATATTTGAATTTCGTAAAATTTTAAAAATATATTTTATATTTAATATATCGATATAAATTATAATATAATAATTTTATATTTTATATATACTTAATACAAAATAAATACCTAATTTATCAACTTTACTGTAAACTATCCACCACGTATTTTTTTATAAGTTTTGTACGATTTTATGCTTTTTAAAAAGTTTAAAAGAGGGAAAAATAATCAAATTTGAACCTAGTAAATAAATATATTTATTAGAGGACAAATTTGCTGCATTGAGGAGGGTGCCTCATAAATCCGATCAAACCAGGGTGAGGTTTTTAAGCGACAGCGTTTTGCCTTTCATGCTTCATAAATTTCCGTTGCAAAAACAAATTTCAATTTGAAATGTAACTACAAGACGTATTGCCGTTAGATATTCAACACTTGAATCTCTACCGTCCAATTTAGACCATAAACGGCCATTAACCGTACACGTGTAGATAAAAAAAAAGAATCCAATCGCTTTCGGACTCCATTAGCGCCAAATTCCACTGCCTTTAATTTCCCAGTAAAAAACCTAAACCTATCTTAATCCACCGGCTGTCAATCACTCCCAATTCTTTTCCCAAATCTCGTCCGTCAATAAAAATTTCAATTCATCCGTCCGATTCAATCCAAAACAAAATTAGCCGTCCATTTTTCTGAAATTTCAATTTCAAAGAACTGTGTGAGAGGGAGTGAAGCAAAGGCTGAAGGAAGAAAAAAAAGGTCCAACTTTTCCGTACAAGCCATTACTTATGGCGGCTCAACTCTCCAAAAGTTTTTCTTTTTTGTCTTTAGATTTTTATTTAACGGAATTTTGAACGGTAAAAGGAAGAGAGAGTTTCATAGTTTGTGGTTTTTCTTTTAAATTTCGATTTAATTGTGTGATTTTTTTTTATTTATTTAAGTTGATTCATTTCTATGAAGATTGAATAATGGAGCAAGGAGAAACGGTCTCGGATTTGGCACCGAAGAAATTGGCGAGGCAATTAGATTTCACAGCGGTGTGTCGCGCGTCGGCAAATGCAACGTTACCGGATCACCCGATGCATTTACAGTCACAGTCACAGTCGCAGTCTCAACCGCAATGGCAATCGCAAGCGCCGTTGCAGACGAAGCATCAGCAGCAACCTCAACCACAGGAACTGCAACCGCAGTTATATTTCCCGCCACAAACGGTGCAGTCGCCACCTCAGCCACTAATAAAACCTCAGTCGCCGCCAATGCCACAAGTTCAAACCCGGCCTCCGGCACCGCCACCGCCGCAGCAAGTTGCCATGGTGCATCGGGTGCCTTATCCAGTTCAGAAGCTTCCGCTGCCAACATTTCAATTGAGGTAGCTTATCAGGACATTTTTAATTTCCCTCTAGATTATAAATGTCCTTTTATTTTTTGTTAGGAAAAAATATTATTTTACGTTTTTATGCCTTAAAGGTTTATTTATCTTGAAAATAACCATAATTACGATTAAAATAAACATTATTGATCCTAAAAACAAATTCATTTTTGTCAAATTTCCTTTTTCTATCTTCAGAATTCAATTATTTGTTCTGTCTCATGAATTAGCAACAACTGAACTTTTAAAATTACTGTTATCTGTTTGGCCTTTTCAATTTAAAGAGACCTTTTGGATTTATGTACACTAGAAATATATTTATAGCATAATGTTGTTTTTAACTCTTTGTGCATATATGTTTGTCCAGCAAGCAAGAGTCACCAAGCTCTAGATCACGTTTGGATGCCGAAGCAAAAGATGGGACTCCAAAGAAACAAAAGCAGTGTAATTGCAAGAATTCTCGGTGCTTGAAGTTGTATGTTCAGTTTAAATTCTATGTCCGCTGTTGACTTACATGTTTGATCAATAAGTCATAGATATTAAACTGCTTTATGTTATGATGATAGTGGTCAGTTGTATAAAATGGCTACTTGAGTTTCGCTTTTAGAAAGCATTGTTTGAATGAGTTACCAGTCAAATTGCTGCTTGACTTTTTCCTACTCCATTTTCTTCTTCTGCATATGGTAGATGATCTGTTATTCTACATGTAAATATGAAGTTCTCTTTGAGGGAAACTTTTTAGTCAGATGCAGGTATCTTTTGCTCCTACTAGGGGTGGAAATGTGACACAATCTTCATTTGATTACAATTAACTAACACCCAGTTGGTTTATATGATTTTTCCTTCACCAAGTATTTAGGATCTGTTAATCAACTGAATTATCTGATTTAAGTTGGTGCAATAAATGCTTTGGTTTGTTAGTGAATGTTTGAACTTGTTGCTTTATGGTTGTGGTCCATCATATTTTCCCTGCATTTCTTTTTTGCTGGTGTCAATGTGCATTTTGTTTTTTGGTTATTATTAGGTACTGTGAGTGCTTTGCTGCTGGAGTTTTTTGTAATGGTTGTAATTGCATAAATTGCCATAACAATGTGGAGAATGAAGCGGCAAGGCAAGAGGCAGTTGGAGCAACCTTAGAACGCAATCCAAATGCATTCAGACCAAAGATTGCCAGCAGTCCCCACAGGCCTCAGGATACCAGGGTATGTTATCTGTCACCTTCAAGCTGACTCATTGTAAGTGTTACTAGGTGACGGCAATGGGATTTTCCAGTTTTCATTTCCTTCCTATAAGGTTCAAATGTGAGGATTAATGTTAAACTGAGCCTGTTTATCTATTCTTTTGTTTTTTTTCTTCTTTTTTTGAAGTGTGGTATTGTGACATTGGTTCAGTGGAAGCTGGATGTGAAAGGATCACTCTATTTGTTTATATAGAGAAGTGAAATTTGATTTTGTCAAGTTTTAAGAGTTTCTTAATGTCTGGAAATGTATCCAGGATAATGCACATGATGTCCATATGGTTGCAAAACACAACAAAGGATGTCACTGCAAGAAATCTGGTTGTCTCAAGAAGTATTGTGAGTGCTTCCAAGCTAATATTCTATGCTCTGAAAATTGCAAGTGCATGGACTGCAAGAACTTTGAAGGAAGTGAAGAAAGAAGATCTCTCGTTTATGGAGATCATAACTCCATAGCTTACATGCAACAGGCTGCAAATGCAGCCATTAATGGTGCCATTGGATCCTCTGGCTATGCTACTCCTTTGGCATCCAAGAAGAGAAAAAGTGAAGAACTCTTATTTGATCTAGCAGTCAAAGATCAATATATTGAAAAGATTGTTCAACATCAACAAGTAATTTTTTGAATTATGATTATATGCAAGAGTCATCTTGGTTGATCATGGCCACTAATTTGATTTCTGCAGCCTTTAGAAAAAATGACGCTTTTTTATCCTTTTTATGTTATGGGATCATCTTATAACCCCCTTTTGTATCTAGCATCAAAGGCTTTTATATTACTAATGGTATCTAAATGATACATAACTGCATAGACAGACTTTGTGGCTTTCTCATCAGGAATCATCTATTCTATATGATACCTTTACAAATTGATGCAAAGTATGATCTTTAGAGATGAATGAAAAAGCACTTAAATTTTCAAACCTCAAATTTTGTCTCAACTGCTTTTAAGATTCTAATTACTACACGATGCAGCCATTTTTTTGGCATTTCTGTTTCCTCTCCTTTTTTTTCAAGGGAAAGCTGGATACTAATATATTTCTCTAATTCAAACCAGGAAAATCATCTAAGAAATCCTGTGGCCACATCTTCTCCTTTATCTGCTTCTGTTTCTTGTACTGCTAATACAGCCTCATTGAGATCTTCAAAATTCACGTACAGGTAGGAATTGCTTGTATTTTATTCTGCCTGTAATTAACAGAAACATCCTTTTTTTTTTATTTCCCCCCTTTTAGGAACTAATTAGTGTGACCATATATTATTGAAGATCTCTGTTGGCGGACATCCTCCAACCACAGGATGTTGCGGAGTTGTGCTCAGTTTTGGTGTTAGTTTCATCAGAAGCTGGAAGGGCACTTGCTGCAGGTACTAATTATTATTCATAAATAATGAACTTTTTTGTTTCTTCTCATTTCAGTATTGCTTTTAACGTTTTAGTTAACCGTTTTGCTGAAATTGCCACAGTCCATGTGTTGTATGTACTCTCAGTCTATCACTTGTTTCCAAGTTTTATCTTTGTCACAAAGAGTCTTCCTGCAATCTGCATCTTCTTCCATGCATTTACCCTTCTTAGCTTTGAATGATGAAGCTTTTGTCATCCGTCAAATGAGAGGGAAGGTGGGTAAGATAACTGGTTTTTGTATTTAATTAAATTTGCATTTTAAAAATTATGATTGAATATTGCAACTGTTCAGATAAGTTTAAGGTAATGGTTCTGCCACTAGGCTTGCATAGCTGAAACTGATCAATTATTTAATAGAAAAACAATGAATGTGCATTATGCATGGTAAGAGTATTTGGTTTTTGTAATGCTATTAAATGATAAATTGGTGTTGCGATCATCAATTCCCAAAGGTATAAGAACGAAGGTCTAGTATGGTTGGTCAAAAGTTGTCATAGTGACTGGAACCCTTTTTTTCAAAAGAAACAGAAACAATTTTGCTGGTATTTGTAATATATAGAGGGGGATAATATAGAAACTATTTTAAATCATATTGAAATACTGCAGAAAGAGTGAAAAAATAAACAAACTCAACTAAACAAAGTCTTAATTTTAAATAGATGGGGACTGTTGATGAAAAAGGTGAAAAGAACAATAACCTTTGAAAAGTCCAAATATATTTCTTTTGCCATACATGAAATTTATATCTATGACAAGTTACTAAGGTCTGGACTCTGGAGGACCATGGTTGATATATTCATTGTCATAGAGACTCTGATTTCCATCTTCATGGTTGTTTTGATGATTGTTCTCATGAAAATACTCGGTCGACTGGTTTGCAAAGAAAAATCAAATCTTAAACTTGCTATAGACTCCCCGGAATGTCATATTATATATGACATCTGTTTCATAAACATTAAGAAAACAAAAAATATAAGGGACCAGTTTAACGTTGTTTCTTGTCCAATCTATTGGTCCTCCATGATTTGTGTATCATCATCTAAATCATTAAACCTAAATCCATACTGAACTCATCTTGGGCTAGTGTGGTTAATTTTTCATTTTAGGATTCACAATTTGAATACATTTTGTTCAGTTGAAGATGGCATATACTAGTACTTACGTGAAACTTACAATCTCCCGAAAAAGGTAGCAAAATGGATCGACAAACCGAGAGAGGCTCTATTGAAACTATTGTTTCATCTGGTCAGCCTTGTGAAATGAGTCAGAAAGGTAATGGCATACAGAACGATGCCACTGATGACCATACCAGTGAAAACCAGGCGGATGCAGATAGAAATGGGAATGCTGGAGCGGATGGGGATAATGTGCAAAATGCAAGGCCATTGTCTCCTGGAACACGGGCATTGATGTGTGATGAAGAAGATGCAATGCTTATGGCAGCTGGGTCACCTAATGCATTGGCAGACCATTCTCGAAACATGACTCAAAAATCATCAAATATGCACGGGTGCACAGAGGTCTATGCAGAACAGGAAAGGCTTGTTTTGACAAGGTTCCGTGAGTTTCTCAATCAGCTTATTACTTGTGGGAGCATAAAAGGTAAGCTAGTTTGTTTTACATTCTAGACTCCAAATCTTGATAATTTATTAGAGGCAAAATCCTGTTAGTGTTTCTTCTTAGAAACTTTGCTCCAAATGGTTAAGTTGCTGACTAAGTTCCATTATAATTCTCACTCCTGTATGGATTTTCTTTTCCTTTTGAGCTTTAGTTGATAGTGGATTTTCTCATCCATTATAATTCTTAGGTGTTCATTCTTTAATTAATGTTTTTGAATGATGATTTGTCCTCGTACATGTTACAGAAACAATGTGGTCTCCATTGGCCTTAAGTGAAAAAAGAAGTCAACAAGATCCTGTAGAAAATGGTGCTGTAAAATCTGGAAATCGAGCGGGTGGGCAGAAAGAGCCTTTTCATAATGGAATTGTAAAATCTCCAACCCCGGCAACTGTAGAAATAGGTCAGATTGTCTCAGCAGCCTCTTCTGCTTCGAATACTGATCTGCATTTAAAGCGTGAATTGCCCATTGGAAAGAGAGACGCAAAAATGTAGAGGCTAAAGGACTCGAATTAGTGAGAAAAATAATTCAAAGTACCAGCATTCTATCTTATGTCAGGTCCGATTGTCTCCATGCTCTTGATACTTGGGTCCTATGGTTCGAAATGTCGATCGAGGAATTAACCATAGTAGCTAGTCGCTTAGACCCTTACCGTCTTAACAGCAAAAGGAACTAGTGAAATTAATTCTTTTCAAGTATCTTTTGGGCTGTTGTGCTAGTATACATGGGGAAATGAAGTTTCAGTTAACCCTAATTTTTACCTGTGATCAAGACTTTGCTCTAGGCCTTACAATCATGCCAATAAAAAGTCATCTCCATTTTTCAAGGTCGGTGCAATCTCTCTCACCTTTTCCCTTATGCAACCACACTTTTTTGCCTGAGCAAAGTTTTTATTTATTTATTAATGAAGTTTATTTCAGAAGTGATAATTAGTAAGTGCAGTCCTTGGCATCATTATTCGATTTCATAGCACTGTTTGATTGATCTCAGAGCTTATGCCTCAACAGGTGCACCCTGTAGGGAGTTAAAATAGAAGGTAAACATACTTCTGGCTCAGATAATCTAATGATCTTTGCACTAAAGATGCCAATTCTTACCAATGGAATGCCTTTGATGGCCCTCTCTTCCAGGAATTTTGAGGGTCTGAAGAAGTTGCCATATAAAGCTGACCACTTGCTGAGACTCATCAAAATGTACTTAGCTCCGATTGTGTCAGCCCAGAAAATTATACCTCCTCTGAAAATGTAAGATAAACAGAGAGTAAGCAATATTTTGTAGAGCGTACAGATCTTTGAGTAACAGATAGGCATAATAGAGTTCTCACAGGTGGGGAGGGAAATTCATCCCAAGAACAGATGCAACGTCAAGTTCTGATGCTTGAGAGATCACTCCTTCCTCTATGACTCGGCATGCCTCATTCACCACAGGAAAGAAAATCATCTCCACAATTTCCTGGTCGCTTATGGTGATGGCCTGATTATCACATTAATTTCCCTTTTATGAGCACAAAACCAACTTTCATATAGAAACAAAACGTGCCTTACTTTTTCTTTGCCAACGAGGTTTGTAATTTTCCTGGATTCCTTTTCCATTGCTTTTACCTATTTGTCAAAGCATTCCATGATTACAAAAATAAGGTTACCTATATGTCATTTTTTCTTTGAAATTTTGATAAGTGTACTATTCTAATTTAAATGTGAGAAAAGCATTTGTTTTTTCTCGTTACCCTGTCGGCCATGTTGGAGCATGAGTTCGTGTAATGGAGAGTGAAACATTCTGTCGGGGAAGGCCGCAGCCATCTCTTTGGCAAATGTAATGGCCAAGCCATATCCAGTTACATCATGAAGCCTGGACATGTATATGAGAGCGTTGAAGTTTGTTTAAAATACAAATAATAAAGAGAAATCAATATTGCATTCAAATCAGGATTAAGAAACTTAACAGGAAAGGCCCCATTGACAAGCCAAATGCGCAAATCACTCTGTCAATTCTAAAAATGTCCACGCCTAAGTCTGCCAACAGATATGGTCCATGAAAATAAGGGGAGAAGGTCCGATTTACAGTGAAACCGGTGCAGTTGCCAACGATCAGAGGAACTTTCTTAATGGCTTTCCCAATTGTCATAAGATCTAGCAAAACTTGTGTAGAAGTTTCATGTGTCCGAACAATCTCCAAGAGTGGCATTATATGAGCTCGACTGTTCATCAAAAGAGACCGAATTTGAGGACTCAAGGCAAGCAGGCATTAAAAAAAAGTTAAGCAATACCTTTTTTTTTTTGGTCATAACCTGAAAAAGTGAGCTCCAACAATGCGATCTTGAGAGTTGGTCCTTGCTCCAATTTCATTAAGATCGAAGCCTGATGTGCCTGACGCCAGGATGCACTGAGGAGGACAAGCCTTCTCAATTTCTTCAAAAATTGATTGTATGAGTGATAAGTCTTCAACAACAGCCTGAGAGAGTGAACCTCAGAAAAACTACATCCAACAATTACATAGTATTATTATAAACATTTTCAGAAGCCTCAGGGAGACTAACCTCTATTACCAAATCCACATCTTTGAATTCTGAGTAATCTGATGCACCTTTTAGAAATGAAAGAGCTTTCTTGATCCCATACTCATCCAACTGTCTTTTCTTAATTAAGCCCTGGAGATTAGCTGCAAGACATTGGCCATGAAACACAGCAAAATACTTCTGATTTTAGAGAATGTTCTTACATGACCCTAACAGTCAAATTCTCTCAAAATTAAAACATTAAGAAAACCCATATCCATGAATGAAAAGAGACCTTCAATCTTTTTAATTCCTCTCTGAAGGTATTCGGAATTGAGTTCCTTGAGGACGACATGGATCTTGCTCAAAATGAGAGCAGTGGTGATTCCAGAACCCATTAGGCCAGCACCAACTACACCAACTTTCTTTACTGCCCGTGGTTTAAGTCCACCATCAGTCACACCACGCAACTGCATGTACATGCACGGCAAGTTAGAAGAGAAAGATTATGTTACCCATTTCTGCATATCTAAACTACCCTTTTTGTTCCAGTCGTATAATTAAATTTACACTTAGAATTGTGTGAGTTTTTCTACCAAAAATGAAATTTAACATACATATATATATTTTGTTAAGAATAAATGAAAGGGTTACATATATTAAGATTTGAACTTTAAACTTACTAAATATCATTTCTTAAATGTGATTGCATCAATCTATTTATTTCAGATTCAATTAACATATTTCTAACCTTCAATGTAACTAGAAATAATTAAGCATGAGTTTTTTTGCCAGATTAAGCATGTGTTTGTTAGTAGTCTTTTTTTAAGGTTGGCAATCTAACCCGAAACCAATGGATTCCGACCTAACCCGATTCTATAAAGTCAATTTTTTTTTTTAAATTGGATTTCGAGTTGGATCGGTTCTGATATTAATAAGTAAAATTCGAGTTTTGAGTATTAGACAAACTCGACCCTATTCGATATTATATAAAAAATTATTTTTTAATTAATTATTTATATATTTAAATTTAAAAATATTATTTTATATTTTAAAAATAATATTTTATTAATTTCGAATCGGATCGTGTCGAGTACAGTTTATATAATGTTGGGTTTGAAAAAAAAAATAAAAAAAATTTCAGATCAGATAAGAGTACAGATTTTATGATTATAAAAATCGAATCGAATTTGAAACGAACAAAAATTCACTTTGACCGAACTCGTTGCCATGCTTATTTTTTTTTATATAAATTATCCCCTATTCCACTAATTGAATTGTCAGCCCAGTCCAAAATCCCAGCTTGCTTGTGGTTAAACTTGAGGAGACTTAAATCTTTAAGCTTAAGATTGGACTGGAATCTGGGCCTATGGGTGGATTTGAGTTTAACTCTTCATGAACACTTCCAAACGGTGTCATACCAGCATTGCAATTTGCAAGGACAAAATAAATGATTAGCTGCTAGCCTGATGCAAACAAATGGTCATCGAAAGTCTCTAAAGACCAAAAGTTACATCACTTCCTTGACCAAAAAAGGAAACAAGTTACATCTCTTATAAACCAAATACCTGAGATGTTGCACGTTGGGCACAGAAGAAATGGACATGAGCTTTTGCGGCTGTTGAAAGTACCAACTCTTTAAATACTTTTTCTTCCTGCACCAATCATCATCCAACCGTGAACTGCTTTTGTTATTAAGCTACTATAATTATCTCTTTAATAATCAAGATTAGCTAGCTTTTATATACCTTTAAAATGCCAGAATGTCCTCCAGAAGTAATGCCCTCTTCAATGACATCGAGACAGGCCAATTTCAGAGGCATAGTTTGAGCATCCTCTTTTAACTCTTGTCGAATACCTTCCAATATCTCTTTTGATTCTTGGATAGAACTGAGTTTATCGGCTCTTGAAAGAGAAAAAGGGCGAGGTACACGACTCTCTGCAATATCTAGAGCCAAATTACTTGATATTTCCAACAAATCTTCTGAAGATGCTATAGCATCAATAAGGCCGACATTTTTGCCTTCTTCTGACATTATCGGCCTCGAAGTCTGCAAAGTAATCATTTAATTGGTGTCATTTTATAATTATAATATGTACAATCCAGAAAATTGGTTATCTGAGGACCAAATGGAGTGATTTACCAGCAACATTTCCACAGCCTTTGAAATTCCTACGAGCCTTGGAAGACGTTGAGTACCTTTCATATAACAACCATGATCGATATCTCAGTTCTGGTGACATTGACAAAAATGTAGAAACTTAGGGGAGAAAGATATGACCGATACCTCCAAGCCCTGGAATGATTCCAAGCGTAAGTTCTGGCAAACCCAGTTTAGTTCCAGGAGTGGCGACCCGAGCACAGCATCCCTGCATAAAATTAGTAGGAACATTTAAGCAAAATTAAGAAAGGCAACTTAATCAAGAGAAAAAATGTAGTTCATCGGCTTAAAATGTAACAAACCATCGCCAGTTCCAATCCACCTCCCAGTGCATATCCTTGAATTGCAGCAACAGAAGGTTTTTTTACCATCTAAACATTACAAAAGAAACAAAGATTTTCGTGATCAGAATAAACGTTTCAAGCATGGGAATTAAGGGTTTGACCTTCAACTAGGTTGATCAAATCACGAGATAGTTCAGCCAGAAACGAGTCGTCCCCTGCCAGAACCGGATATATGGTTAACAAAAATGGTTAAAATTACATTTTATTACTTGCTATAACGTATTAGATTAAAAAGAAAATTTATTACCAGTTCTCTGAATATCTTGCAACAGATTGACCTCCAAGCCACTAGAAAATTTACTGCCAGCACCTAGTTTAGAAGGGATAAACATAAACACAGCCAATACATTTAGTACTATCTATTTTCGTGGCTGAATGACTTTGACAGCTTTGACTCAAAGTCTGGGATTTACCTGTCAAAACTATTGCTTTCACGTCGTCTCTCTTCATTGCCTCATCGCATTTCGCCCTCAACTCTGCAAGAACTGCAGGCCGAAAAGTATTTTAATTCTAGAACCAAGTAGATACTCTTGAAAAGATTTACGGATGAAGTTCTTATTAAAAAATGAATAAATAAAAATTAAAACCAAAAATTAAAATTAATAAATTAAAAATTTTTATTACATAAATTAAGTATATAAAATTTTAAAAATTTTAAAAAAATTTGATATATTTATTAAGTAAACAATTTTTAAAAAATATTTATAAAATTTTTACGACCTAATAAGTATTTATTAAATTTAAATTATAAATAATATTTTTTTAAAAAATTTATATAATTTATATATTAAATTTTATTAATTTATTTTTAATAAAAAAACTTTACAAATTTCACGCTTTTACTAATAAATAGGCACCGAGAGATTAAAGTAGCTTAAAGTTAAATGGTTTCCTCAAGTCCGTAAGTACATGCATGGATCCTAACAAAATGTCCCATTGCCGGTTAGAGAATTGGACTACCAATTAAGGGTTTGCACAGTGTTAATTTGGTATGTACTCCAATCTTTTACCTTCACAGCCCAATTTTTTTTTTAAATTTTTATAAATAAAATTATTTAATTATCTTTTTCATAAATTTTTAGAGTTTTATAATTTTTCAAAAATAAATTTCCAAAAAATCATATAATTTTTCAAAAATGAATTTTTAAAAAGTCATAAACCCCTCAAAAAATGAATTTTACAAAAAATTTTAAATTTTTTTGAAAATTTAACTTTTCAAAAATTTATTTTTAAAAAAGGTTATAATTTTTTTAAAATTTATTTTTGAAAAGTTTTATCATTTTTCGGTTAAGAAATCTATTTTAAAAAATTTGTGTGAAAGGAAAAAGATAATTAAGTAA